TCATCTTATTCTATATGTTAAGTCTGCAAGCGGCACATATTCTCTCAGCTTAAGTTGCCATTCTTCTTTAGTTGGGACCTCACTCGGTTTCCATTTTTGGGCAAACAAAACATGGGCCGCAGTAGTTGCATACATAAATAACCTTTCTTGACACCTGGAAATTTCCATCTGAATTATCCCCAAGAAAAAGGACTCTGGGTTTTTTTTTGGGGGGGGGACGGGACATTTTTTTCAATTCATTATGGATTATTTTCCAATACTCTTTTACCCTTTTACAGGCCCACCACATATGAAAAAACATTCCCTCAACCTCATTACATCTACTGCACTTATCTGATTCAGTTTTAAACATCTTAGCAAGCCTACATAGAGTTAATTACCATCTGTCAATCATTTTCAGGTAGTTCTCCTTCAAATAATAACATGCTGTAAATTTCATATAGCTTTTCCAAAGAGTTTCCCCAGAGATTAAAATCTATATTATGTCCTATATCTATTGCCCTATGTGCCATAGAAGTTTTGACAAGCTCATCTTTGTTTCCCAATCTAATAACAGAATGTACATTTTAGATAAAAGTTTTTCTTTGTTTTGTAGAAGTTAGTTCTTTTTCGAATTGAGAACTTTGGTCCGAAGTACCATTTTTCCTGTCTATTTTAAACATTTCATGTAACTGATGATATTGTAACCAGTCTGTAACATGGCTCCTTACACTTTCCATTGATTTCAGTTTAGGTTCCTCCTCTGTAAAGTACAGCAATTCCCTGTTAGTTGTTCACTGTCTATTCATATTGATTCTCTTAATTGTAATAGCCATAAAGGAGATAGCCATAAAGGTGTTTTCCTTTCCAGCAGATTTTTATATTTCTCCCCTGTTCTGTAATTTTTAAACTTCCTTGGCTCTCAGTTGACATTTTTCACATTACCTAACTAGAAGAACTACTAAAATAAAATATATATCTTGAGAAGATGGTTTTCTCAAGAGAAAATTTTGATTTCAATAGTTCAGCTTTAGCATATGCTTATCTTTTTGTAATAGCCAAGGTGATTGCTTGAGAAACCTCAATTAAAAACTGAAATTCTTGAGATGAAGATGACTCAAAGACAAAGCAGGGAATGGGTGAAGTCTCATAAATAGGCAGGCTGTTTGACCTGAAAATCATTAATCAATTTGCCGAAAAGATTTGGCAGGACTACAGTAGGATTAAACTATGAACCCTTTGAAAGGTACACTTTGTTCCTGAAATGCTCTCTGGTTCCACAGTGCCTGTGTCACTGATCTAGAAAACATCCACGTAGAGAGCAGGGGAGGCTAACCCTTTCCTGCAAATGGGGTCCTGCCCTGACCACCTCATTCTGCCCCCAGCAAGCCCCATCTGCCTGACTTTTTATTTACAATCAGTTCAGGGGGTGGTACAGCCAATCAGGTTCTTCCTCCTCCTCCTTAGTCTTAGTGTTACTTGTAAAGAACTCAGCGGGGGGTGGGGGGGGTGGAGATAAATCTAGAATTAGGCCTAAATGAGTTTTGCAAGTCTTCAAATTCATTGGGGCTCTGCACAACATGGTTATATTTCACATATATTTCAGCATTGCTCACAGCATCTACAAGGTGGTTCTCTGATAACATTGTGGACCTTATCAAAATTCTTGCTTCACCATTTGATCTGGGTATATGCTGTCACTGCCAGTTGACTTCAGTTGGGTATGAAAACCTAAAGAGCATTTGAATCGCTGCTCAGAACTCCACCAAACTAAGGCATGATTGCCTTCCTTGAAAAACACACCCTGAAGTGTCTTGGTAGTTTTCACAAAAGGTGGAAAGAAATATATGATACGTCTGTTGAAAATTGGAATAAAAAGGATCACTGTGTCAATTTTCAACACCTGTTAACTAGCTGTGATCAGTGGCAATCTGTAATGAATTAATCTGAAATTTTGGCATACAGTGGTACTCGGGTTACATACGCTTCAGGTTACATATGCTTCAGGTTACAGACTCCGCTAATCCAGAAATAGTACCTCGGGTTAAGAACTTTGCTTCAGGATGAGAACAGAAATCATGCTCTGGCGGCGCAGCAGCAGCGGGTGGCACCATTAACTAAAGTAGTGCTTCAGGTTAAGAACAGACCTCCAGAACGAATTAAGTTCTTAACCCAAGGTACCACTGTATTTGGAAACTTGAAAAATTCTTATGGAGACCACACACACACCACCACATGGCACACCATGGAACACATTCATACCCTCCAGCATCCAGATGAGGCAAATCAGATTGCTAGTCTTTTTGGTCCCAAGCTCTTGAAAGAGCCAGCTGACTTGCACCAGAAATTGAGACCAAAAAACGGGCTCCTTTTTGTCCTGGTCTCTGGCACAAGCCAGCTGATTCATGCCAGAGTGCTGGACCAAAAAACAGGATATTCTGGGATCCAATCAGAACCCGGAATGGCTTCTGTAATTCTGGGTTGTCTCGCTTAAACCAGGACGGTTGAGCGGTATGTACATTATGCAATTGTATGCAGGATTTAAGATGCACACATGACATCTCAAGTTCACCACCAAAGTTGGCAAGCTCAGAATTGCCCCCTCTCTATTCAAGAGAACAAAGCATCCGATGTGGAATTGTGTATCTCCCTCTCAGTCACCAGACTACTATCACCAGTTTCTCCTTCCATTCTACTAGAAAAGCACCACCACAACCCATGGAAACACTTGACAACACCTTAAGTCACAAGGAAAGGGATCTGGAAAGAGACACTCCTTTATGTATTTGGATGCCAAGCTTGTGTTCCGGACTTTAAAGGTTAAGCCTCAACACAGCAAACTTATAACCTTTTGATATGATATTCTCTTATCAAAAGCTACTGGTTGAGTTGCCCCACCAAATTACACTTTGCTGAAATCTAGTCCATCTGCTGTGTCCATTTACTCTGTGATCCACCTCTCTTCCATTGATCCACAGGCCAAGGCAGTACAGTGGTACCTCGGGTTACATACGCTTCAGGTTACATACTCCGCTAACCCAGAAATAGTGCTTCAGGTTAAGAACTTTGCTTAAGGATGAGAACAGAAATTGTGCTCTGGTGGCGCAACAGCAGCGGGAGGCCCCATTAGCTAAAGTGGTGCTTCAGGTTAAGAACAGTTTCAGGTTAAGTACGGACCTCCGGAATGAATTAAGTACTTAACCCGAGGTACCACTGTATCTGTTTTTTTCTGGCTAATAATATGGGGGGGGGAGACAAAAAAACAAAGAAACACACCATACTGATCAGTGCTTTTTTTCTTTAAATGTTTAGGGGTACTCTCATTTTCCTACTCATATTGAAATACTACCCCTCAATGAGGCCAAACTTAGATTCACAAAATGTTTAGGAGTATGCGTCCCCTGCGTCTCCCCCCCCAGAAAAAAAGCACTGATATTGATAATATGCCACCACAGGTTAAGGTCTCGCTTTTTCTGTGCAGTGTGTGTGTGTGTGTGTGTGTGAGAGAGAGAGAGAGAGAGAGAGAGAGAGAAATAGCAGGCTGCCATTTCTTCCCAAAAGCCTAGTAAATGCTAAGTAGGCTTTGAGAAGGAGCCCTCATGCCTCCTTCCTAATGCTGCTGCTGCTGCTGTCACCCCAGGAGTTGCTTTCGCAGCCCCCATCTGCTGGCCAGGAGAAATTGGGGCGCCCCTGGATCAAGACAGAAGCTGTGACTGCTTCTGGGGTTGCCCCAGCCCTATAGGGACTGCTAGAGGGTAAGCCATTCACATTGCTTATGGTACAGGTTGACTCAGTAGAACAGTGTGCCTTCAACCAGCTTATGTTGCTGGGTGGCCCAACTACTATGTAATCCGAACATATTAATTATTTGAACAGGGATATCTTGGCTGCAGCAATCTGAGCTGGATTTTCAAGACTGGACTATTATGTCAAGCTTCAATTAGTGTGGAACTTGGCTGCCCAGCTGGTGGCAGGACCGAGGTGAAAAGATCATATCACACCAATTCTATTCCAGTAACATTGGCTGCCTGCACGCCCCCAAGCCCAAGTTCCTGTTCTCTCTGCTCAGTCTTTTAGACTGACGTGTCAGCTGTAGAGACTGCTTTCAATTCATAGAGTCATAGAATTGCAGAGTTGGAAGGGACCCTGAAGATCATCGAATCCAGCCCCCTGCAATGCAGAAATATGCAGCTGTCCCATACGGGGATTGAACCTGTAACCTTGGTGTTATCAGCACCAAGCTCTAACCAACTGAGCTTTACCAAGATTGCAAGGCCTTTTCCATCGTGTTCCAGTCCCACCTCAGGCTGCTTCTGGGCAAATGGGCACAACTGCCCTGTCTTCTTCCAAGAAATGTTGCTTTCACATCTCACACTTTTAAGTTCATGTTTATTTAAGATAGTCATCCACAGGCTTTTCTATTTGGTAACCTTTGCGAGGAGCTCACAGCGATCCACAAAATCTATTCATTCATCTTCATTCATACCATTTTGAATCAATCACATTGCAAATAGCAACATTAGGAAGAGAACAGTGTACAAAATCTTCAAAATCATTAGATGAATTGTGAGCAGGGAGGTCAGCCAGAATGACATTAAATGCGGAAAAGAACATACAGAGATATTAACTGGCCTGTGCATACCTACTCATAAGTAAATTCTACTGAGTTCAAGGCTACTTCCAGATAAGTGGATATAGAATTTTAGCCTAAGAGCTTTATCTATGTGCTTCCCAAATTATCCTGGGAGCTGCGGTTTGTGTGTCACAGAGCTACAATTCCCAGCAGATAACAGGGGACATGTTATATTCTTGAATCTTCTCTCTAGTCCAAATTCTGGTCACTGACATTCTCTCTAAGATGGATTTTACGTGAGCTCACCCCTAAAACAGCATATGGCACACCAATCTGTGAGGAATTCTCGAGTTCAGAGCCTACATGGTTAATATTTGCAGGAGCAGCCCACAAGTCCTTGCTGTTCCATGATTGGCCAGAAGCGTTCTGCTTCACCCTATTTATCGCAGCATTTTTGCTGGAAGGTGCTAACGTGTTTGAGTGGCGGAGACAGAGAGAGACACCTGCGGCAAGCAGTAGCCCTCTGAGGAAGCAAAGGGAGGGTGCTTACCCCCCTTGTCCCCGTGGCTGCAACAACCATGAGGGGCAGACATAAGGACACGTGGATTTTGCCCTTGCTCTTAGCTGGCTTAATTCAGCCAAATCTGGGACAGGAACAACAGAAGGTAAGATATTGCAGTACCATTCAATGGGGGCTCAAACAGGAAGATAACCTGGGATCTGACAGCTCTTGTATTCTGGTTTGAAACCACGCAGTATCGGACAGCAGGGTTTGGTGAGGACGAGCAACAGCTGCCTAGTAATTTATATAATATAATACTCTCTGCACAATCAAGCACCCCTTATGAATCTGCAGCCAGTGGGAACCAACCTGATCTGGCCTGCGTAGGGACCAGAGATTCCATACCACAAAATTATGGGCAGAATGGCAGGTCCCAGTTTATATTCAGCTCCTCTCCCACAATGCCTTTGTAATTGTGTATCTAGATCAGGGTATGTATTTGAGCCTATATTGTTGTGGGCATTGTCAGAGGACAAAGGGAGTGCTTCTTTTAGCTGTGTAAACTCGCTGCTTCTTATCAAGTGGTGAAAGGAATGGAGCGCATTTTATGACCAGCCTGTCCCTGCGCTGTCCCCCTTCTTCCCAGGCATGTGAGCTGGCAGGCTGTTTCTCTGTCTCGCTAAGCTAGTTTCTGAACAGAAATTTCACATTTTCCAGGATGATTATATCAGGATGATCTTGTAAATTTTGACCTGGATGCTGCTGGGCAAGCGCTTTAAACGATAAGACACCTCCACAGAGGCTGACCCTATCAGTGACTACCAGTTACGACGGCTATATCTGATGTCCAGTATCAGAGGCAGCATGCGTCTGAATGCCAGTCGCTGAGGGACATGAACAGGAGAGTGCTATGGATGTTCACGGTCCGATTGTGGCATTCCCAAAGGCAGCAGGCTGCCCACCACGAAAACAGAATGCTGGACTAGATGGGCCAGAGGAGCATAAACCCAGGGGCCTGCCTAATACTGAGTTCGACCACTGGTCCATCTAGTTCAGTATTGTCTACTCTGACTGGCAGCAGATCTCCAGAATTTCAGATGCGGTTGTGTGTGTGTATTCCCAACCCGGTCAGATGGGTGGGGTACAAATAATAAAATTATTTTATTCCACCTGGAGATGCCAGGGATTGAACCAGAGACCTTCTTCATGGTACAGCAGGTGTCCTGCCACGGAGCCATGGTCCTTTGTCCAATCCAGCAGGGTCCTTCTTACATCCTTAGGTTCTTGCCAGGAATGCTATAAATACCCACTTCTCTTATTGTGAAACTCAAAAGATCAACCTCACAGGATAGCTGCGATGATAAATGATACTATGGTTGCAAAGGAACCAGTGCGAATCTCACCCCCTATCTCCTAACTGATGTCTGAATCCCTCCTAGGGCAGGAGAGGAACCCGGAGATATAGTACTGCAGGTCAGGCGGATCCTCTGTAGCACGGAACTTTAATCTCGAGCAGGGAAAGGGGGAGCTGCGGTCTAAAGCACGGGAGATGGATGTGACTCGTGCACCAATGTCATCAGTCCAAAGGACAAGGTTAGGCAAGATAGGATAGGTCCCATGTGACTTGTTTACTCCCAGGGCTATCTGCACAGGCAGATAGTGTGGCAGAGATGTGAGAGAAACCTCAGTGACATCTTATTATGAATAAGAAAGCCACATATAATCTGCCTTAAAAAAGGGAAGCACAATTGCCACTTTGTTGCTGGTCCATTTAAAGCAGTTTCTGCTCATACCTGCACCAATGCACAAGACCAACTTGTGTAGGTCACAGAAAGATGGAGGGGAAGCATTACCTAAGTGCAAAAACAAGTGGTGTGGAAATATTAAATCACCATTCCTAGCTCAGCTGGTAGAGCACGAGACTCTTAATCTCAGAGTTGTGGGTTCAAGCCCCATAAGCAAAATATTCCAGCATTGCAGGGGGTTGGACTAGATGACCCTCGGGGTCCCTTCCAACTCCACAATTGTATGTTTCCATTTCTCTCCAGAACAGCAGCTGTGAGGCGGGATGGGGAGACTTTGGCCCTCCAGATGTTGCTGGACTACATCTCCCATCAACCCCGGCCAGTATCAAGGCCAATGGAAGTTGCAGTCCATTAGCAACTGCAGGGCCAAAGTTGCCTCATGCCTGCTGTACAAGATGCCCATTGGGGCACATGCCAAGCATACTTGCTAGGAGACAGGCTGCATTGGATTCCGGCAGAGCAAACACATTGGATGGTGCTGCAGAGGTACAATGTCGCCGTCACTTTTATTATGGGAAGGAAAGAGAAGGGCTTCCAAACCTGTTGCTCCCAGTCACAAATACATCTAGCCTAAGTAGACTGTTCCTGTCCTGTTCCCGTTACAGCAATCTACTGTGCTGACTGATGGGATTTGCAATCCACAGCATTTGATGGAGAAACGGCTCGCCAAATGCTTGCATATACCCCTGCCCTCTCAAGGCTATCTTTAAAAGCCAAGGAAATGACAGTGCTTCTCCAAGCTTTTCATTCCCGTGGTATTTCAGCTGTTTACAACGGTTGAAATGTTTGTCCATCTTTTGTGGGTTTGCTGGCCAATGCTATTTTTACCCTTGTACCTTCTACCGCTGCTTAATAACTGGTCTCAGAAACTGGCTCCTCTTGTTCTGTGTCTTCAATTAGTATTTTTTGTGCGACGTGCCTTTGGTTTGTTTAGAGCCAAAAGACGTACACAAGTGTTAATCCCCCTCCACAGTTAACATTCCCCTTCCTATCCCACGGCTGTAATCCAGGATTTGACTTGGAACAAAACTTCGAACAGGAACAAATCTGGGTTGGCCTGCAGTAAAGGGGACCCGTCTCTGTCATCCAGCAGCTGTCCCTGCAAACTGGAAAAGCAAAACAGCTTTAGCAGTGCTTGATCTGTGGCTTCTGACGCAAATAGATTTCCTCTCTCCTGCAGTGAACCAGAAGTTCAGAGCAAATGATGAAGTGTACCGATCAGAGCCTAGTAACCATGTGTTTCTAGGTGACCATCAAGAGCTAAGTGGTGGGGGCAGTTCTTCAGTCACCAATTATAAACTGCTCTGTCATAGGACGTTGCTTTATATCGGTCCAGACCAGTATTGACTGGCAGCAGGAGTACCAGCTTGGGTGCCCAGAGCCGTGGCTGTCATGCAGCGTGCATGGCCCTGGCACTGAAATTTGTGGGTGCCCTTCCCCTTCATGGGAAATTTTGTGGGTGCTCGGGCACCCAGGGAGTGGGCAGGTATGACTGGCAGCACAGCTTTCGAGAGTTTCAGGCCAGGATTTTACCCAGCCCTACTCAGAGATGCCAGGAAGTGAGCCCAGGACCTGCAAAACAGGTGTTCTACCACTAAACTTTAGCTCTTCCCTTCCTCACCGCTGAGGATGGAGTATATTTTCAGCACCAGAAGGGTGTGCCCACCCTTCTGTATTTATTTCAGCTTTCATTAGACACTTCCTCTAAATACATTCATAGGTTTGTCAACACCTCTGCTTGGAAGATGCTCCTGTGCCTTTTTGCCAGCTCTGAAGAAGAAGGGTGTTCAGCAGGGATGGCTTCTCTTATCACTACATCAGGAGCATCCAGACACACTGGGCATTTGCACCCGAGCCATGCACCCTGCCATTGTGCATTCGCTGAGCTTGGGAAGGGGCAGACACAGGCAGACTCTCCTCCATGCACAGGGGGAATCTGGGCCAGCCCTGATGTTCCTGAGTCCTTGCAGACAGAGGTGCTGTTGTCAGCCCTGCAGTATTTTGTATTGCAGAGCTAAGCTGGAAGTCACTGAAGAGCTCACTGCCACCCATTTAGACTGTGTGGGATGACTGGTTCTTGTACTACTCTAGAGGTAGGGAATCTTTGGCCACCTCAGGCTGCATTCTCTTCTGGGCAATTTGCCAGAGGCCACATGCCAGAGGAGAGCAGGGCAAGAGCCAAAAGTGGGAGGAGCAACAAATATAATCTTTGCTTTGCACAGTAGGCTGCGTTCTGCACATGCTCACACATCCCTCTCTAGCCAGGCAATCGAGAGTTGTTTTCAGAATTCTGGGGCACAGTTTAGCCAGGCAAGCAAGGCCAGTAGAGGCCTGAAGGCCTGGTAAAAAGACCTGCATGGAACATTTGGCCTGAGGTCCCCCTCCCCTGTTGTGGTCCGATCTCCTTCCATGGTATGGGCATCCGGGTACACTTGTGGAAATGTATATGAGCTGTCAAAGCAGCTCTTAGAAAAGCCCTGGTGCAGATCTGCATTCCAGAGTACCTTCTTTCACCTCCTTATCCTTCTTCAGGTAGAGTCTCTCTTGTTTCCCTCCAGGTGGACTGCTACAACACGAAAGCAGGAACAATCTACGACTATGGGGCTCTCACCATAAACGGTGATGAGTACATCCCTTTCCAGCAGTACTCGGGGAGGATGGTCCTCTTTGTCAATGTGGCCACCTACTGAGGACTCACAATGCAGTACCTTGGTAAGATTCTCAGCTAGGAAGAGAAGCCTAGCTAGCAGCACATGCCCTAGTAGTGGATACCTTTGATGGGAGGCACTAGACTTCCAGCAATGTCAGAAACTGAGAAAACCTCTTAAGCCCAGAAGCATGAAGATTAGCTAACATTATTTGGTAGGGATCATCTCTGTTCTGTGATACTTTCCTCTTTATTATTGTGTCACGTGCAGCAGATGAGATCTGGCCTAAGCACAGGTTCCGAGGCTCAGTCCAGGCATATCTACACTTAGGCAGATTTGCCTTTCCCTTGGGAGATTCAGGACAGATACATTACTCCTCCAGGCAGAGCATCGTTAATTTATGCAGCGATTGCCACCAACCTGGATGCTTTAAAAGAGGATCGGGCAAATTCATGGGGGAGAAGGCTATCAGTAGCTACTAGTCATGATGGCGGTGTTCTGTCTTGATGGTCAGCAGCGATACTGCCTTCTGAATACTAGCCGCCAGAAGCATCAGGAGGGGAGAGTGTTATTGTGCATTGGTCCTGCTTGCCCACTTCTCACGGGCATCTGGTTGGCGACTGTGAGAACAGCATGGTGGACCAATTGGACCATTCTTGGAGGTTCATCTGCACAACGCAATGTTCAGAGATGCCACGCTGCCTCTTGTTGACTTCAGGATGGCTCCGTCACATAAGTATGCTTTGAGCCAAGTTTTTTGTTGAGCTAAGTCCTGCAGGTGACTTCTAGAGGGATAGCCGATTGTATTAATTCTTTTGGCACCTTAAATGGTAACCATTTTTTATTGTGGCATAAGCTGTCACCATCAGAAGTATGATCCTCAAATGGCAGGTATTTGGGGTACAGGTTGTAGCTGAAATTGCAGCGGAATGCAAGGACTGTGGCAATTCAATTAGAGTCTGAATTGGGATTTTGCTTTGTTGGTGATTATGTTGCAGAACTGAATGCACTACAGAATGAGCTGCGAAATCATGGACTGGTTGTCCTAGGTTTCCCATGCAATCAATTTGGAAAACAAGAACCTGGCACGAACGCAGAAATCCTTCCAGGACTGAGGTGAGTACACCTACTGCATGACCTGGTGGTTATGCCAGGTAACTCTACATTGCACAACAGGCTAATTTAGAAAGCCTCTTGTCCTTTAGTGCTTACAGTTGCTCACTATCTCCTTCTCCTGTGGCTCTACCATGTACCACAGAGCAGACTCACATGCATGTATTGCTAATTTTCACTTCTCTTCTCCTTCTGGCAAGAAGGTGGGGGCAGGCAACAGACTCTTTAATCTCTAGGGAACTTACCTACACTTCCCTGGAAATAGTGATTGCCTGAGAGCAGGGAATGGAAAGGATATTTACGGCTGGGCAGCAGGGACTGTGCCTAATAGATTCTGAGCAGGGACCAGGAGGCTGTCCTCTGAACAGTGTAGAAACTTTTCCTTGTTGCAGCCTCTCTGCGAAAGAGCTGGTTAAACTTGCTCCTTCTGTTCCAGATACGTCAGGCCTGGAGGAGGTTTTGTCCCAAATTTCCAGCTCTTTCAGAAAGGAGATGTGAATGGGGATAAAGAACAGAGAATCTACACCTTCTTGAAGGTTTGTATCGGCTCCTTTGAACCTCTACCACCTCTCATCCTGGCTCATGAAGATGTTAAGGGAAATAGCTTGGAGCCAAGGATTCCCCAAACAGAAACTACGCTCCGATGATGCTCTCACTGAGAGACAGGGGGGCATTTCTAACCAATTTATTCCTTTCCCCTCGTGCCCCCACTAAATCTGCTCCAACGGTTGACCACTGTGAGAACAAGGATGCTGAACTGCCTTTGGCCTGATTCAGCAGGGTTCTTATAATCAGGACTGGGGTCTCCTATAAAAGAGCTTAAGAGATGGAGCAGGGGCCCATAAGGGGAAATCAGAGAGAAGTGCCTTCTGCCAGTGTGGGTCTCCAATGGACACAGTTCCCTCCCATAAATAGATCATGGCAATCCCATTAATGGAAATGTAACTCGGGATCCGAGAAAGTAAGTTCTCTTTAAGCAAATGCCAGGGGTGAGGCTGCCATGAAAATTACAAGTTTTTAGATAGGCAAGCACCTATGTGGAACGTGGCAGAGAGAAAAAAGCAGCTGGGGAGGGGGAGAAATTTTAAGCAGAAAAGCAGCTGGTGAGGAGGGGTTAAGCACCTTCTTCCCTCCTGACTGGTATTCATTTAAGAACAAAACAGGTTGCAGCATCATTACCCACATGCAGATAGGGTAGTTTATTAGGCTCAAATGTTGCTGTCACGAAGTACATTTCAGGCTCCTCTCTTCCTGTTCACAGCTGCCTACATCTCCCCTACACCACTAGAGCAATGACGAAAAGCTTGTTTTTATACTTCTCTCAAATTGCCTCCATTTCTAACAACAGAAAAGTAAATAATGCTTTTCTTTCTCTCTCTGGTAGAACTCCTGCCCGCCTCCTTTAGAAAGCTTTGGTGACCCCAAGAGACTTTTTTGGGAACCGCTGAAGGTCCACGATATCAAGTGGAACTTTGAGAAGTTTTTGGTTGGTCCGGATGGGAAGCCTGTGATGAGGTGGGCACACAGGACCAACATTGGCACTGTGAAGAGCGACATCCTGAAATACATGAGAGAGCAGCAGAACCTGTCAATGGGCTAGAGGTCATGTAGATGTAGAGAAATAAGATGGGAGGGGTGGGGGTGGGGAGACCTGTTGCTTTATCCAGAACCAGACATTTTATCCTCAAATCACAGAAAAAGGAACTGAACTTCCTTTGACCAAAAGCAAAAGGTTAAGATATAATGTTAAATATGGACTAGTTTATTCAAAATCAGACTGCAACCCTTCCTCGACTGACCTGTTTTTCCAAACACACTTTGGAAGAGGAAGTGGGCCTCAGCTTTCCAGTCCCTCTCTAGGCTTCGCTCCCACCATGTTGTAAGTGGGATCTCTCCCTGCCATCACTCCAACTTTGAGCCCACCATAGCACATTGGTAGCATTGCAGGGAGGTTGACGAAGACGACCCTTGGGGTCCCTTCTAACTCTACAATTCTGTGATCAAAGCTGAGTACAGTGGTACCTTGGTTCTCTTTTTTTAATAATAATTTTTATTATTTTAACATATAAATTATAAAGTGTACCACGAAACTTATCACTTATACCATCTTTTTTGACTTCCATCAGCCCCTCTGATAATCCACCGTTTTGTTCACTTCTTATATATTTCTTAACTTTATATTGCCTTTAAGTCTCTTAACAAATTATCCTTTCCCTTATCTATTTTTGTAATACTTCAAATAATACTCCTCACAGAACTTCTTGCAAACCTACAAACGTCGTCTGGTCTTCACAAATACTTTTCAAATAGTCTGTAAATTTACTCCAGTCTTCCGGTACCTTGGTTCTCAAACTTAATCTGTTCCGGTAGTCCATTCCAAAGGCGCACTTTCCCATAGAAAGTAATGCAAGATTGATTAATCCGTTCCAGACTTTTAAAAACAACCCCTAAAACAGTAATTTAATGTGAATTTCCTACTAACGAGACCACTGATCCATAAAATGAAAGCAATAATCAATTACTGTACTATAAAATAAGTAAGACAGTATTGTAGGTGATAAAAATTATTATTATTATTATTATTATTTTACCTGCACTGTTGCTAGTCATTGTTTGGATGGGGGGCTTTTATCCATTTCCGTAGTCACACAATCAATCAATCAATCAATAGCTGAACTGGGTTCCACAGAGTCACAAACCAAATAAACCAAAAAAGCCTCAAAAACAAAAACGCAAAATAAATAGCAAAAACAAAGCGCCAAACTTAATCCATTCCAGAAGTCTGTTTGACTTCCGAAATGTTCGAAAAGAAAGGCTCTGCTTCTGATTGGTGCAGGTGCCCTGGAAACAATAGCCGACAGCCGCATCGGATGTTCGGCTTCCAAAAATTGTTTGAAAACCAGAACACTTACTTCCGGGTTTTCGGCGTTTGAGAACCAAGGCATTTAAGAACCAAGGTATCACTGTATATTACAACACACAAAGTAGTCTTTGGGTTTTGATACTACATTCAAAGTATGAGAGGGACCTCTTTCCCCACTCTTTGTTAACATATTTATATGCAAATATATATTCAGCAGTCTAGCCATCAGGCTTTATAAGTCAAGCCACACTCACTTCTATCTATAGAACTCAATTATGCCAATTTATGGTGGCAAAAGCTTTCACAGACTAGTGCTTCCACCAGGGCAGCCAACACGGTGCTCTCCAGCTCTTGTTGGGACTAAAACTTCCATCTGTCCCATCAGGCATGGCTAATGGTTAAGAATGATAGGAGTCATATCCCAACAAGATCTAGAAAACACCATATTGGTTGCCTCTGGTTCACATCACTATCAGGTCTCAGAGATCTTTATTTGCAACCCTTTGCTATAAGAACCCAACTCACACTGCTCCTGTTAGGGATGGGAAGATCTTTTGCTAACAGATGGGATCCACATTTTGGACAGCTCTGGATAAGGCACAGCCCACCTCCCTTCCACAGCAAGCTGAACAGACCCTCCCAGGCCGAGAGGTTATGTTGACTGAAGTTTCTCTAAGATGGCATTGCCTCCTCCGAGTGTGGATGACAGGAGAGAGGGATCTGGGGACAAGATGCTGCATCAGTATGAAGGTTGGGTCTGAAAGCTCCCAAAGGGTGGACCTAGCCCAAGGCTGCGAAGGGACAGTGGAGCAGCTCTTCTAGTGCATTCGTGCTGCCCCACAACTCACCTTTGCAGAGATGCAGTCCTTCTGATTAGCCCCACGATCCTAGCCTCTTTTGTTTCCACACCCACCCTGTGTATGAAAAACTGCCTAATAATAATAATTAAAAAAACAGCAAGCACTCAATGCAACTTGTGAGAGACTCTCCTTTAAGCAAGGGTGCAGATCTGGTGGCAATACAAGATGTGTGTTCCTTGGAGAATTTGGATCCTCTAGCTAGGTTACAGTCTCAACAAAATGAGAGCTTGTCTATACTGCCACTAGCATTCTCACTAAGCCAAGACCCTCCACATCCATCCCAGGCAGCACTGACAGTGCTCAGGGATTATGGGAACTGTGGTTCAGCAGCATTTGGAGGGATACAGGTTAGGCACCCCAATTTATAGAGTGCCTTTAGAGGGTACGAAAGCCATTCACACAATGATGCTTTATGACGACTCTAAGCTGAGTCAGTAATCTTCTTCTCATATATAGAGAGAGGCTTGCTTAAGGCAACCTAATGAGTTTGCTATTTAGGTGAAAATGGAACAGAAGGGGTTTCTGGTTAGAGCTCATCCTTTTTTGCTCTGTGTTATCATACTAAAAACTGCCCCTGTTAAAGAAAAGAAACCAGTTTTCCCACTGCAAAACTGTGTGATAGCATTAGAATCTGACATCCTGAATCCATTCTGTATCCAGTTGCCCTGGTTCAGGCAGTTTCCCCTTGGTGTTCACTTCATGCAAATATAGATTCAAAGAGAAGATAAAATACACAAGCACACAACACACACACAACTTGGATCTTCTCTTTCCCTTTTTGCACCGTGGATCAGGGGTAGCTAACCAGTGGCTGAACTACAACTCCCATCATCCCTGATCCCATAGCCCATATTTGGTTGGTGCTAATGGGTCCAACATCCAGAGGACTACTGGCTCCCCATCTATGCTGTGCAGTGAATTATTTCTTACAGGTGATGAAGGGAAATATCCAACGCCCTGACACTCATCCTCTTTTCATTTATGGCAATCCAAAAGGCATCTAATAAATAGCACCAGATAGCACAAAGACACATTTCACTTCGACATAACACTCCAGGGACTGTAGATCACATGGGGGGGAAATCACACTTTATTAGGAATAGAATAAAATTAATATATATAATTAATATCATTTTGCCGAAACAAAATGTCTCTAACATTTATACAATAGGAAGATCGGCAAGCAAAAATACTAGGTGTTACTATTTAGAGTGATGTGTACAGTAAATTCTAATCAGGCTTTCCTTCACCTCTTTCTTTCCTATGACAGAAAGAAAAGGGGGGTTACAAGTGCCCCCGCCATAACATCTATGTTTGGGGTGGTATGCATTGATCTTGTAATGTAACATTTTGTAAATTGTTATTCTTTCCCTCTGTGAGGACAAGAAAAAAGGACCACCCTTTATGGTTACTTCCCAAGGAAAGAGTTTTCCCTGCAGAGTTTGATGGCTGACTATTTGTAAACATCCAATTCTAGTTTCAAATGAGCCCAGGCATTAACCATTTGAGCAGAGGCATACCTAAGTTCCCGGCACCCCTGGCAAGGAGCTCTATTGGCACCTCTGAAGCCAGGAGATACCATGGACCAGAAACTCAAAGAGTTTGCCTTTCACGCTCCACTATTGACTTCCTTTGCGGCCATCAGGGTCGAGTCCGCTTTGCTCAGCCTCCCTACCACCACCTCCTCCACTGATCCCTCTGTTTGCCTACCTGCCTTTCTTCCACCCTCCACTCGCTGCTTCCTCTTCTGCTTCCTTCCTTTTCGCTCCTCTTGCAACTCATGTCTTTCTTCCCTCCAAGCTCACAACGGGGACCTGCAGAGGTGCCCAGAGCAGTCTGTGCACCTCGTCCAGCCACCCAAAGCAGTGGAGTGGCAGCCCAGAGAGCGTGCCGATGGGCAGAGAGCCAGAGTGGAGGGGCACGATTTTGGTGCCACCCTGGGCCGGCACCCTTGGCGAGAGCCAACCTGGCCAACCCCTGGTACACCCCTACATTGGAGTATTCCAGTTATTACAGCAGCATGTAACAAGCCATTTGTACCACCTCTTGCATAGCACACTTTGAAAGAAATGTTTATGACAATTAGGTTAGCTGGATTAGCATTTCAAAACAGTTTTTTTTAAAGCAATCTGTGGTTGAAACAAGTGTAGGTTTTACAGAAATGTCAAAATAAAGGGCACCTTTGTTTCCTTAGGGATTATAATGCTGAGGAACAGTGAACAGTGGAAACCTTACTGACCAAAGTCTTTGCACACTCTGACTCAGCCACTTTCTATATGCACTTATTTTCTTTTTCATCCTACCTATTCACCGTATGGTGCACCCTCATAATTAATTTGTCTCTTAAAAAGCAACAGCCATCCCTTCCCTGTATTTCATCTTTCATTCATGCACATTCTAAGGTCCCTCCCATCTTAAAATGAAGCCTCTCCACTTCCACAAGCATGCTGCTGCTTTGTTGGAGAAACCAACCTCTGTGCGAGGAGGAGGGAGGAGATTGGGGAAGAAACCGTACATCGAGCCAGTGTGCAGAATGCCTATAGAAAGCGGAGCCCCAATTGCATCCAAGCTGTTTCATTATACCATCAATGCTCTTTTAAAAGTAACACAGCTGACCACAACACATGCAATCGGTGGTCACACAGCTGTGATTCCTTCCGACTCATGTAAAACAGTGGTAACATCAGAAGTACCACTTATAGCAGAGTTTTTAAACTTTGATTTTATGCAACACATATTCCTCAAAAGCCTTTGCTGGTCACTATTGCCCTGCTCCAGGAGTGCAACTCTTCTTCGCTTTTTTAACTAAACTACCACATTTACAGCACAACCTTATTCTGGAGTGAATCCCACTGGCCTCAAATGGACTCACGCCAAGGAAAGTGGATTGCAGCCAAAGATTAGCTATTCTCGTTAACACATCCAGTCCATCAGGAATCATTTAAAAACTGCCTTGCTAGATCAGACTGGAAGCAGCAAGCTGTCTTCAAGAGTTGAGAGAGAGAAGCTGTGCAGCAACACCTGCTAGCCTGTTTGCAGACCACATTTACATTGAGACTAATGGGTTCGATTTCATACTGTGGGATCCAAAAGGGACAGGGACAGAGTTTCAGGCTCAGGAAAACAATGCAGGAAGCTGCAGATGCTAAGAGGAGGGTAAATTAAGGTCTATGCATAAACTGAGTGTGTGGCGCAATACACAAACAAATACTAGTTTTAACCACGCTGAACAGCACAACTCAGTGGAAGCAGAATGTTTCCTTGGGCTAAACCACTGGATTTGACATGCAAATTAAAAAAAATATATTCAGCATGGGGAAAGTATATTTTACTTCCTATACACTATACAGGGATTGGATTTCTCCTTCTCCCTACCCCCTTGCAAAAATTCAGTGTCTGTAACCTGTCCAGGCATTGACCACAACAGCTGCTCTGCAAAAGTCATTTTGCACATAGAATGTTTCCGCTGACACCAAATTCAGATGCTGTAAATGTAAAGCTGTCACATCACAGGGGGAATCAGCTAGATATAGGTTCTGTTGACACAGGGCTGCCAGTGTTTGCCACTGGAATCTGATAGCAGATCCATGGCTGTTGAATCCTTGAGGTCAGAAAGAGTTATTCATCCAAATGCTGAGTGTGAGTGAGAGGGAGACCCAGGTAGTTATTTCCAGAGGTTTTCCCCGTAACACTGAGCCACTGTCACTCCTTGGCAGTATCTTCCATACGTCTTCAGAAATTCCTGCTAAAGCTGCTGTTAGCTCAAGCATCCAAGTGTACATGTATTCCATGTACACAGATAAATGTGAATAGTGTCCTGGGAGCACAAGGAGGCTTTTATCTGTACATGCAGACTCACATGCTTATATCACAACTCCATTTCTTATGCTCTTGCACATGGCCATAGAGTTAGGCGGGCCTTTGGTTTTTAGGTAACCCAAGGCCTGTAGGGTCTGAAAGACAAAAACACACAAATATTACAAAAAGTGGCAGACAGGTCTTTGGTCAACAATATACTATTATGTTCAGCTCACAGAGATTTGAGCTGAACTGAATCCACCATCCCAATCCTCACCAACAGCAACTGCTGAGAACTCCATAGCCAAATGCCCGGTGGATATTTAAAATCTGGCCAATGACATTTAGTATATTTCAGCCGCATCTGCACAACACACTAAACTGTGGTTTAGTACAGGGGCCACCAGTTTTTGGCGGGTCATCAGCACAGTTACAAAATGTTGAGGGCTAGGTGAAGGGAGAGCTAGGGAGGCCCAAAGACACACACCTCTGGCTCCTTGAAACACTGAGGCGCAAGTTTTCCATGAACTTGAAGACCAGTTAGATCTCTGTGAATCGCATACATCAGAAACTCATGTGACCTTTCAGGCATGAAAAAGATTTGCACCTTCAAGCAAAGATTTGCACCTCCTTTCCTCCTATTTATTCAGGGCCCGTTTGTGTGTTAGGATAGGCAGGCGAAGGCAGCTTGAAACAGCGCCCTCACAGCACACAGGGTGTGGCTGCCGTAGAGTGAACCTCCCCAGTTTTGTGTGGCAAATTGGCATGTCACCACAAAGCCACCTATGTCAGGTGCTAGTGATGGCATTTCCATGCAATGGAAATGATCTACCATGTGGAGCAGCCAAACGTTTCTGAACTGTTATCACAGCAGATAAGAAGACCCTTCGAGGAGAGGAGGGAAAGCAGCATTCACAATAGCTCTCGGGAATTTCACCAAAGAAGTTTGAACCTCTTTCTTACCCGATTCCTTGGGGAGTTGTTTCCCACCATCTGGCGCTTGTGCGTTCTGATTTTGTGAAATAACACATGGTGGATACCAGGTATATTCAGGCTAAAGTGAGCAAGACATAAATAAACAAGCATAAACATGGCACACCGCTAATGCGTGCTTCAAAATGGAAACTTTGCTTCTCCAAACTGAATGGCCCCACTGGCAATAGGCTAAGCAGAACCGTTCATTCTGGGGTGAACATGCCCTGGATTCCTTCAAGAGGAAGAACTTAATATGAATTCTATAACTAAAGAAAGAATCAGGCCATGCAACAAAATTTTGAGCACAGATTCTGGTAGGCAAAGCCAACAATTTCAGATTTTGGAAAACGGGAGAAGTAGAGCTGCTCGTTCTGGGCATTCGCTTACACCTGGAGTTTTGCACAGAATCTGGCACAATCCTGAGACTCTGATCTTCATTTATTTTTTAACGAGGCAATGGATGGCTTTATACTTATAGCCTCCAGTTCCCAGCTGCCTTTTTTCACAGCCCTGATGCCTTCTGATTTAGTTAACTCACAGGAGGGAATCGGTGGTAGTTCTGAACCGGAGGACGCTCATTTGGCATTGCTGCTGGTGGGTAACGGATCTGCTGCCACTCCTCATAACCATGATACATGTGGGGCTGGACTGGAGTGGGGCACTGGAACTGGTACATGGGGCAGACTGGGGCCACCGGTCCTGGCTGCGGCTCTGGATGAAGCCTGTCACCAGAATGCTGTAAGTGAGAAAGCAGGAGGCTGAGAATGATGCAAACACAGATAAGCCATACACAAGGCTAATGATTTACTACTGGAATATTTGGGCACCAATAGGAGGGAGCATTATTGTTTTTGGTTATCCTGTACTTTTCATCCAGGGACATTTCATCCTGGGCTGACTGAAGGAACACTATGCCCCCTTCACTGTATTTTGATCTCACTGTTGCCAGGAGGAAAAAGTAAGCGTAGGCTGAGAAAAAGGAGTTACCTTTTAAATAAAAGCAGTGGATAGTAAGAGAAAAATGACTCAGATCTAATCTGGACCTACATGTAGAAGCAATTTTGATCTCCCTGGATAGGTAAACAGAAAGCCATCTACAGACAACTCTGACACTGTCAATTTAATGGGATATCATGCCCTATAGTCTGTGGGGCAGAACCAGTCCTTACCAGATGGGGTGGATTAAAGAGATAGATCTCTCTCCCTCCCCTCCTCCCTCTCTCTCTCTCTCTGTGTGTGTGTGTGTGTGTGTGAGTGAGTGAGTGAGTGAGTGAGTGAGAGAGAGAGACCTAGGACCCTGGTAAAATTATCAGCCACAATGGCATTGGTAATTGGTTGCTTTCCCTGAAAGAAAAACACATTATTATGTAAAAAAAATAGGTAATATCCAGTTTGGGGCTAGAAGTTTCACACCTTTCGCCCAATTAGGGTTCAATTTGACTGGAAAACATCCACAATGTATGGAAATAATTTATGGGTGCGTCATGGCAAAGAGAATATCATAAGAAGAGGCCACTTGGCCATCTGGTCCAGCATCCTGCTCTCACAGTGGCCAACCCAATGCTTGTTGGAAACCCGTAAGCAGGACCCCAACACAAGAGCAGTCTCCCCTCTGGCAGTTCCCAGAAACTGGAAACATTACTGCTTCCAACCATGAAAGCAGAGCATAGCCATCGTGGCTAGTAGCCACTGAAAGCTTAATTCTCCATGAATTTGTCTAATCCTCTTTTTAGGTCATCCAAGTTGGTTATTCAGATTAACTTGGGACAGAATGGACTTGTAGGTGAACACATGCAAAAGTGACCCGATTCATTCATTGATCCCTAGTACGAACTGGCCCTAAGGAAGCTACCAAAAAATTATACAAGTGATTGGAATCTGAGCCACATGTCAAAGTTGGGTGAAGAATTTATTATTTATACCCCGCCCATCTGGCTGAGTTTCCCTGCCACTCTGGGCAGCTCCCAATCGAGTGTTAAAAACAATTCAGCATTAAATATTAAAAACTTCCCTAAACAGGGCTGCCTTCATATGTCTTTTAAAAATGGGATAGCTGCTTATTTCCTTGACATCTGAAGGGAGGGTGTTCCACAGGGCGGGCACAACTACTGACAGGCCCTCTGTCTGGTTCCCTGTAACCTCACTTCTCGCAATGAGGGAACCGCCAGAAGGCCCTCGTCGCTGGATCTCAGTGTCTGGCTGAACAATGGGGGTGGAGATGCTCCTTCAGGTATACAGGACCGAGGTCAGCATCAACTCTTTGAATTGTGCTCGGAAACGTACTGGGAGCCAATGCAGATCTCTCAGGACCGGTGTTAAATGGTCCCGGCGGCCACTCCCAGTCACCAGTCTAGCTGCCGCATTCTGGATTAATTGCAGTTTCCGGGTCACCCACGTAGAGCGAATTGCAGTAGTTCAAGCGGGAGATAACTAGAGCATGCACCACTCTGGCGAGACAGTCTGCGGGCAGGTAGAGTCGCAGCCTGCGTACCAGATGGAGCTGGTAGACAGCCGCCCTGGACACAGAATTAACTTGCGCCCCCATGGACACCTGTGAGTCCAAAATGACTCCCAGGCTATGCACCTGGTCCTTCAGGGGCACAGTTACCCCATTCAAGACCAGGGAGTCCCCCACACCCGCCCGCCCCCTGTCCCCCCAAAACAGTACTTCTGTCTTTTCAGAATTCAACCACAATCTGTTAGCCATCATCCATCCTCCAACCACCTCCAGGCACTCACACAGGACATTCACTGCCTTCACTGGTTCTGATTTAAAAGAGAGGTAGAGCTGGGTGTCATCTGCATACTGATGAACACCCAGCCCAAACCCCAATGATCTCTTCTAGCGGCTTCATATAGATATCAAAAAGCATGGGGGAGAGGACGGAACCCTGAGGCACCCCACAAGTGAGAGCCCAGGGGTCTGAACACTCATCCCCCAACACCACTTTCTGGACACAGCTCAGGAGAAAGGAGTAGAACCACTGTATAACAGTGCCCCCAGCTCCCAGCTCCTCTGAACAGTCCACCTAGCAGTTCAACTGGCTGTAACCTAAATTTGGTATTGCCTGAGCAGTCATATCTTTCAGCACAGTGCTTTTCCTAGCATGGCGTTCTGTACCTGTTTGTGCTGCTTGAGCAGCTTCTTGAACTTGTCCTTCTCTTCCTTCTCTTTACGATAGTCCTCTTTAAAAATCTGCATCTGGCAGGGAGAGAGAAGGCCACAGGTAAGCGGGGAGCTAAAGGATTCCCTGTCAACTGCACGCTGGGAAGGAGGCCAGGCAAATTAAATGCAAACATTCTGCTCAAATCTGCTAGAGCTGCTGAGCTCCCTCCAAATCTGGGTGCCCTCGTGGAGCACAAGAGGCGGCACATAACACAGTTCTTTGGCTATAGGCCTCTGCGTGGATATAAGGAGAGGTTGCCCCAGCTTACAAAGGTCCAGTGAGGTCACATGACTGAGGGAAGTAAGAGGCCATACTAGATTTCGATGGACAAGCTAGACAGCAAGAACCACTTCTGGTTGAGGGAGCAACTACCCAATCTTACTTGAACACACCTTGTCTTTGCTTACTGGTATGTCTCTCCCCCCTCTCCTTCCAAAACAAATGACACAATTATCTCTTTTCCCTTAAGGATAAAACAGGCAGCAGATGTAAGCAACCTGTGGAGCAGGGATGGGGAACCTGTGGCTCTCCATGACACCGCTGGACTCCCATCAGCCCCTGCCAGCATGATCAATGGGTAGGGATGACGGGTGCTGTGGCTCAGGAACACCTGGAGGGCCACAGGTTCCCCAGCCCTGATATAGGAGTGAAGTGACTAAACTATGGCTTGTGAACTGCATCCCGATTCTGAAGAACTCCCAGAAGATGCCTTTGCTTTCCAAGTTAGATTTTGCCTCTTTGTTCTCCTGGCTACCCTTTGCGAGAAGGTGGCTAGTCTTAGTGCAGCAATGCAGGATATAGCAAGGGATCCCCTGAAGATCATGGCTAGGCCTAGGAGAAGGCAATGGGAAGCAAGCTGATAAAGACAGGGGGGAGAGAGAAGTGGAAGTGCCTAAATTGGACACTGATGTGGGGGGAGGGAACATGGGAGATGAAACTAATGGTGGATAGAAAGGCTCTGTAGCAGTCTTTTGGATTTTGTAAAGCACAGGGCAGCTGGATCAGTCAGCAGGCTGGGATTTCAGAGCGGCCTAATTGTCATCCCCTTCATTGCACAGCTTCCTTTTTGAAACCAGAATGTGCTTTCTGGGTTCCTACCTGGCTGTTGGTGAGCACCAACTGCTTCTGAAGCTTATCCAGCTGCTGCTTCAGCTCCTCCTTCTCCTCGTTCATCCTTTCTCTGTCGCTCCGCTCCCGCTGAAAGTCCTCCTCAAAAATCTTCACCTGGCAGGGAACAAGAGGCAGTGAAGTCCTTGGTTCACAGAGATACAATCCCAATGTATGGCAAGCGCCAAGTGTCCCAACGCTGATGTCAGGAAAAGGCAATGGGCACAACCGTGTTTTGAGCCCAACTTCAAAGATGTTAACAACAACAACAACATTGTACCCTGCCCATCTAACTGGGTTGCCCCAGCCTGGGAGGCACAAGCTTAGGAGGCAAAAGGAACACTGTGTTTTCTGGAAATAACTTTTGTGCTCACAAATGGTGTCAAGCCAAGGGGAGTCCTAGTTTCATGGAAGCCTGCCATACCTGTTGCTTTAGGAGCTCATTCTGGGTCACCACCTCCTGATGCCGGACAGATGCTCCAGGTTCAATGGGGCTGTTGAAGGCCGAAGGGGAAGGAGCAGAGGCTTGAACGTTCAGGGCCTCTTCTAAGGCCTGAGGAGAGTCAGGAACAGAGAGGACAGTTAAAATGGTCTTTTCTCCACAGCAGCTTAGCATCAGTAAACAATATGTTTGCAGATATTGTAAGAGATTTAAGGCTATTTTACTGTCCAGGAAAGCTCATAACCTGGGGTAGGAAAAACTGGCATGGCTACAGAGAAGCAGAAGTATATTGCCCACCTTATTAAGCCGTAAAATCTCCTTCTCCTGGTACTCCCTTTGCCTGGTGACTGGAGCCAACTGATCCTGAAGGAATTTCACCCTCTGTTTTAGGTCTTTCACCTCACTGGCAAGTCTCTCCTTTTCTGCCTGAGAAAGACAAAGTCATAAAAGTCAAGACAGCTGTATACCTTAGGACCACAGATCCTCATTCTACCACCCTCCCTCCCTGCCTCAAAACCAGAAGTAGAAGAACTGGAAATGAAATAAAATGAATGAGAATTGGGAGAAGATTTTAAAAATAAATTTCAGGCTCCTGCCTTGCAGATTCCTTTACCTTCTTGAGAACATACTGTCACAGACCAGGTGTTGCTGTACTACAACTCCCATCAGCCCCAGAAAGCATGGTCAATGGCCAAGGGATTATGGGCGTTGTAGTTCGGCAACATCTGGAGGGCCAAAAGTTCCCCACACATGCCACTGACTAATTGTCTATAACTGGGTAGCCTGCTGAAATCTCAACAAATGCAAGTGGCTATAGCTTTGCCATCATAATTCAAACTGCCTGTCCATCCCTCTAACCCATGTCCTATCCTCTCTGGTCAAATATACTATCTAGCTCATCTACCTTCACACTAGACAGGCTCAGTATCCCATGCTCAGTATCTTTGGTCTCATCTTTTATAACAGGGATGCAGAACTTGTGAGTGGGACTACAACTCCCATCATCCCTGACTATTGGCCACGGTGGGTGCTGATGCATTTCCAGGGAGTGTCGGACCTCTTATCAGACTCACCTCCTCCTCTTCAATCTTGGATTTAGCCAGCAGGAGCTTACGGTCAAAATCCCTCTGCTTCTGCTCTCGTTCTGCCTCCAGCTCCCCCAGGGCTTTCTGGGAGTCAGCAAGCTTCTGCCGTAGATCTGTTATCTGCCAGGAGGGGAAGATGACATGAAACATGAAACAAACCGCAGAACACAGCTAGAAATACTGCAAACATTTAAAAATATGCAGTATCTCTTGTCTGACTGTATGAGAATACTATAGAGCAATGAGAATACAAATGCTGATAAAATGGGACATCTCAGACCACACACACACACACACACACACACACACACACTCTAGAGGCCTTGCCCTGGTATTCCAATGTTTTGAAGTCAGATTAAAAGAGATATTGAGAGGACAACTGGTTATGAATTTTTATTGGAATTAAAACCAGTTCAACTGGAAATCTATCATGAAAACATGCCCACTCAATAGGTAATGATCTCTGGTTTATTAACAGCTGCTCAGCTTGTTATAGCTAAAAATGGGAAAAGTTCTAGGATCACAACACGTAAGGAATGGGAAAATAAAATCTGGCATATAGCACAAGCCAAGCTAACCGAAGTAATGAGATTAAGAGATGGCAGACAACAACAACCACCTGATTGTTCTGGCTGACTGTCAACCGTAAGTTGAGTTTGGTGCATCGATGCAGGCCAGTAAGATGGCAGACAAACATTTATCATAAAAAGCATTAAAGCCAGAGAGAAAAAGTCAGTGCCATAGAGAGACCCAGCTTTCCCTCTAGCAACATGCCTGTTAATATTCTTCCCCTCCGACAAGGCATATGAGAGAAACACAAAGTTCTCTGGGTGTCGTATTATGTGAAATAACTGTCACCTATAAAACTTCATTTGTGCAAGGCATTTGGTACCCTGCTATTACCTTCTGCTCGTACTGCTGCTTCATGGACCGGAAATGATGATCCCACTGCTTATTTACCTCCAGCAGCTAGAAGGAAACGCACAGAGTTATCAAAGGACATAATCTCAATTCCCTACTGATGTAGCCAAAGCACTATCTTGCCAGCGCTTTCTAGTCTGTCCAGCAACTCTCTTACAGGAATAGCCTCCTTCAGGCTCTGCATAGATTGCCAAACCTGATAGCACCCAAAGCTGGTTGACCTTGGGCCTCTCTTGAACAGCAGGAGCAGCTTTCCTGCAATAATAAATACCTAGCAGCAGACCTGCTGCTGCTTATTGGAGGCAGGAGGAGTGGAGTGACAGTGGTAGATTTGGAGCTGAGCAGCAGTGGCACTGGACTGGCTCCATTGCTGCACCAATGCAGCCCCAACCTTGCCACCTCTTCTGGACACATGGCAGCGATGCTGCTGCCAGGATGCTACTGTTGCAGCTACATCCCACCTGGCATCTCCAGTTTAAAAAGGTGATGCAATGTGAAAAGGGAAGATCTCAACAGAAGACCCCAGAGAGCCATTGTCAGCAGACAATCCTGGGCTGAACAGAAAAAGGCACCCGACCCTGCTGCTAATGCAGGCTACCATTGTGGGATCACAGTTTAGACCACATGACAACATCATGGAGCAGCAGTTCACTCAATATGTCGAGGGTATGAATCAGATCTCAATGTTTCCAAGGAAAGGGGGGGGGGGGACAGATGTCAAGTTCCTGGAGATATGGGAAGCACTGTCTATTCCCAACATGAATCGGCCTGACATTTAAGACCATCTTCAGAGGTCCTCATCAGGCTATCCCTATCTTCTCAAGTGAGGCAAGTAACTGGCAACAGCGCCTTTTGGGTTGTGGCAGAATGTAGGAAGCCAGACCAATGGTTCACGGAGCTCAGTATAGTCTACACCAGACATAGGCAAACTCGGCCCTCCAGCTGTTTTGGGACTACAACTCCCATCATCCCTGACCACTGGTCCTGTTAGCTAGGGAGTTGTAGTCCCAAAACATCTGGAGGGCCGAGTTTGCCTATGCCTGGTCTACAACGACTGGTCCTCCATGCTTTCAGACAGGGGTCTCTCCTTGCCCTACCTAGAGATGCCAGGGCTTGAACCCTGCAAGATGTGTGGCTCTTCCCCAGAGAGCCTTGCTTTTGGAATGCCCTTCTCTGGTTCATTTCCAAGGCTTCCCTGCTGCCCACCTCTCCAGGGGTGAGGAAGGGGAATGAAAGCACTGCTCTTTGCTCTGACACTTTCAACATGATCCAACACTGCCCTGCCTTGTGGTTTGTGGGTTCTCCGCTTGCTGGGGCAGTATTGTGACTCGTTACAGTTGTCAGTTGCCTCAGGAAATTGTGCATTTAAGGGGCAGGAGATGCAACACTTAAAATAATAAATGTGCCAAGCTCTCCTCTGGCCTTGGGTCACTTGGGGCAGGCGTCCTGCTTACCTCGTTGCGTTGGTGCTCGAGGATCTTCACTTTCTTCTCACTTGACCCCAACATGCTTTTCCCCATGGCTTTCTCCTCTGAGGCCCCCTTCTGAAATGTTGACACACAAAAAGGTCCTGAGAAGCGGCTAAGCCAATCATAGCAAGCAGCTTGCGATTCAAGAGCAGCACCCATGCTTCTCCCTCCCAAAGCCAGCATCCAAAGCACTGAACAGTAAGGCCTATTTTCTCCCACAACAACCATGATCCAATATGCATTGGAAAGGCAAATAACAACCAGGGTGGTTTTATTGTCATGTTTAATGCATGCATATGGGGGTGGAGGGTGGGGGAGAGGCAGTTCTTAAGCCTTCAAGTGGCTGGAGCAGGAAGCCCAACAGCCACTCCACTCCAGTTCTGCACTCTTGAACAGTTATCCTGCAAGATCAGGCCCAGGGTAGTGGGGCAAGATGAACAGACTATCTGGTTTTATAGCAGGGCTGAGGAATCTCCAGATGTGGTTGGACTCCAATTCTCCTCATCCCCAGGCAAAATGCCAAGGGTCAGGGATGATGGCAGCTGCAATTCAACAACTTCTGGAGGGCCTCAGGTTCTCCATCTCTGTTTCATAGGGAAAAGCCTCTCACCTGTTGCAGTCCAGCACATTCTACGCCTTCCGCCTTGACTCCTTCTTTGCTGCCCATCATCACCATCTTCCTGAGCTCCAGATTCTCACACCTACATTGGGAAGGAATAATATTAGCAAAACGAGCATCAGGGAAGAGAAATCATTCTTCTGGCTGGAGCTGACCAAAGACATTTTGCCAGCTGAGGCATGGCAGAGCCCCTCTGCCCCATGGTGTGTGCCAGGGCTGACACTTACTGTAAACGCCACGGTGAAGCTGCTCCCAAGTCTTGAAAAGGTTCACCACAGTGCCCAGCCATGCAGCTGCCAGCAACTGAACCTCAAATGGCATGAGAGTGTCTGGCAAAAGGGCTCACTTGTTCTGGCACACTGGCGGGAGTATGTGCAGGGGGCTGCTTGCTTGGCTGCCCCTCTGCCCCCTGAGACAAGTGGCTCGGTGTTACTTATGATAGGCCTGCCTTAAAAACTCTAGGTTCCTATCTTAAAGGGACTGCAAAGGGAAGCAGGAGACGACTTGGAAAAGGCTTTCTGAGTCTCCACCCGCTTCCCTTTTAAACCTCTGAGATCAGAGCACAAGGCCAGGCCCACTTGTCAACCATGTGATGTCATAAGGATGGCATGTGATTGACAGGTGGGCAGCCCCAGCCACCTGTCCTGTTTGGCTTGCCAGGCAGATCCTGCTAAGAATGCCCTCCCTGGTTACATACCACCAGTTAAGGGTCTTTCAGTGGCAATGAGGATCTCATTACTCTAAAGTAACATAACCTTTGAAGGAAAAAAAATGAGCCTCTTAGTTCACTTTTATGTTAACAATGGCAGCGTTCAAATCAATACAGCGTCTACATGCCTTAGGAACCTGGTAAAAGTTTTTTTTCTACTAAGATCTGCAAGTAAATGAAAAAGAGGACATGCAAGTTTGAAATGCAAGACTTCTATGTTTGTTCTGAATTTTTGCTTGGTATGGTGGCTAGATTTTACGGGGAGGTTTTCCTGGCGTCAAAGTCTTTTACATTCTAAAGCTTGCACCCCCTCAGCAACAGAATGTGATGCAGAACAAGACTTCAGGACAAGATTTCTTTCCTGAGGGCTAGCTCTGCTGTTATAGACCATGATGGAGAACAGCTCAGAGCGCATGGAAGTCACAACCAGGCAGGTCCTCTAGAGGGCAGCATCTCATCTAGGAAGACCAAGGAACAACTTTTTAAAAGCTCTTTTGACTGGAAATATCAAGAAGGTGAAAGCCGAGCTATTCAGAGAAGCTTGGGTCTTCCCCAGCCAAAGCAATCAGGACACCAGTATCTGCTGTCTTTAGGGAACTGCTGGTTGGGTCTTAAAAGGCCAAAGGACTTCATGATCTTCAGGCTAGGGAAAGGCTGAATCTTTAGCCCTCTGCAGGTGTTTGCCTGAGCCCAGGGGTGTTCGAAGTGTGTGGAGGGGCAGGGGCATGCATGCAAACCCTGCTGCATCCATGTTCCCAAGTCCACTTGCTCCTTTTAGACCTTCATGGCTTGAAGGAGGCTGCTATGCAGGTTCGACTGAAGGCACTTAGAGGCCTCTGTGCAAATAGGGAACCAGACTTTATCAGGAATCTCAGTCATGTAAATGCTTCTAAGTACATTCCGTCCAATGCACTTCAGACGGTTGCACTACATGGCAACTTGAGGATGGGGCTTGCTCAGACAAACACTTGCAGAGTGTTTTGGGGGATTACTTATTGGGGGAAAAAGGGCAGCACCAACGTATTAGGGTCTCTTTTCCAAGGTTCACTCTGTGCCACCCAATGCAAGGAAATTCCCCTTATCCTTCTCTGGGATTTCCCACCACTGTTGTTACTTTCCAGGGAGTGGCTCCACTCCTTCTGTTCCTTGCTGCAAGGTGGGTTGGACTCCCAGTGCTATTCAGATTAACTAATTCACCAAATTATTTTTTTAAAAAATAAATCTCCGAATTACACCTGAAAGTAGTTCTGGGTCAACTGAACATGAATTAAATTTCCTTTGCAGTGAAATTTGGGAGATTTTAAAATCATTTTAATTATATATGTGTGTGTGCACACATGTGTTTCATTGCACATAACTCCGTAATCGTGGCCACTACATTTGCCATTTTTACCTATCTGAAAAGTGATGCTGCTGTTTAAAGCTTAAAGATCAGAACTGTTGGGGAAAATAAAATGCTTGCATGCTCTGTTGTTCTTGCAGTGTATTTTATACTTTAGCAGGACAGCTTGCAAAATTCTGAAGGCTGAAAAATATCTGCCAAGCACCATCACAAGCGAACTGTGAAATGAACTGGAATGGAATTAGTTCTCTTTTTTGTGTGTGCAAGGGAGGAACTAGAATTAATTCCTTTTCTAAAATGAACTTTCTAAGCACCGGTGTTCTCTGCCATAACTGCACTCATCTCTCAAATCCAAGTTTCTTCTGGGCTCTTTAATGCTTGCTCAGGGTGGCTGTACAGTTTGATGGGTCTTAAGAAAACTCCCTAGGAGCAGAGTAGGGCAAGGGGCAGGGACCGGTTTCCACCAGCTTCAGGCTTCCAATATTAACTTCAGTGTCATCACACACAATGAAAACGCCTAGATCACTGCTCTGCCCAGCATGACTGTATTCTCCTTTCCCACCTGACATGCCCTCACCTCAGCTTCTCTGAAACCTGGTTCCTTTGCTCTAGTTCCTTCTCCAACTTTGCCCTCAGCTCCTCATTCTCGTTCCGCAGCTCCTCACACAAGGCCTGTATAAAAAAAATGGGGGAGGGGTACAAGAAGCATCAGCAGTGGAAAGAGTTATATCTTATTAGCCAAGGGCCATTTTTCTTGGTCATAAACAGCTTCTGGCAATTGGCCACCTGCTCTTAGCTAGCTGTCGATGCTGAAATTTGAATTTCCTAGTCCCCAATCCCATGAACCCTTTTCTCAGATTTCGACATGAATGCCAAAGCTATATTCCACCCCGTCTTCCTTGCTATTTATACCCCACCAATCCTTTAAGGAACTCAGGACAGAGACTTGGTCTCCCCCACCATTTTATCCTCACAACAACCCTAGGAGCCAAGTTAGGTTGAGAGATGGCCCCTGGTTCAAGCTCATCCAGTGAGGAAAATCTGCACTTACATAGCCTTGGTATGACACTGTAACTATTCTGGTTCTCTCTAATCCTGAGGAAAGATGGGAATAAGAAAGCAGGAATTATATCTGCCTATTAAAACTACAGGGCCAAAGTAAACAGGGTATTATTCACGTGGACCTTGCATGACTTTTTTGGGGGGGAACTAATAGTTACTACCTGAGACGCAGGTGGCGCTGTGGGTAAAAGCCTCAGCGCCTAGGGCTTGCCGATTGAAAGGTCGGCGGTTCGAATCCCCGCGGCGGGGTGCGCTCCCGTTGCTCGGTCCCAGCGCCTGCCAACCTAGCAGTTCGAAAGCACTCCCGGGTGCAAGTAGATAAATAGGGACCGCTTTCTAGCGGGAAGGTAAACGGCGTTTCCGTGTGCGGCTCTGGCTCGCCAGATGCAGCTTGTCACGCTGGCCACGTGACCCGGAAGTGTCTCCGGACAGCGCTGGCCCCCGGCCTCTTGAGTGAGATGGGCGCACAACCCTAGAGTCTGTCAAGACTGGCCCGTACGGGCAGGGGTACCTTTACCTTTACCTAATAGTTACTACGGGTATGGGGAGATGGATTGGGATCACAGGAGACTTTAAACCCCTGCCCCATCCACGGTTCTGATCAGAGGCAGCCCCTGTTGCCCTGCCCTCCACACCTGCTATTCGCAATGGGGTGAAAGTCGCAAACGGTAGGTGCAAAGAATATCAGCCACTTTAGTCAGGATTTGAGGCAGCCTGTATTTGCACCTCTTTGGGACTGACTGGGACAAAAGGGTTAAAGTCCTCCAGATCCCCATATGACAGTCTGTCTCTCCCCCCCCCCCCCGCCCCAGCATGCTGGTTATTTGTCATGGTATTTTGTAAACTGTGCAATGCCAAATGACACGGAATAACATCCTGTTCAGTTTGGCCCGTAGAAGGACGCACTTCTGGGCATCACTGCCAGGGAATTAAAAAAAATAATAACGCAATTCTCCTTCCTCTTGAGGACTTCCCTCGTTTAATTTACTGAAACAAAGTATAAATCACCCTTTAAATGGCCAATTGCACAATGGCTTGCCCCAAGGAAAAGTCTTTTAGTGGTGAGTTTATGACCTGAAAGGTTGTGGGGGGTGTCTGATGCCTTACTAAGGGTGTGTCATATCCTCAAAGTTTCCCTTCCTAGTTGGAAAGGGAAGAAGAGATGACGGAAGAAAAACTAAAGCAAAGCTTCATTCAGAAATGCCAGTGTTTCCCCCATCGGCAACATTGCGAACGGTGGTCAGGAACCTTTATGAGGCCAACAGTGTGCCAGAGGACTTGAACGCAAAGTCTGGTGGCAACGTGACTGGAAACACACATATTCAATGGGGCTTAATTGTTGCTATCAGTACAGTAGTGGTTAAAGGTGGAACTGTGATCTAGAAGTTCCCAGTTAAAGACTCAGCTCAGCTGCAAACACACTGCACAGCTGCTGCTATTTCCCAGGCGTGGTTCAACATCCATCACATGGGAGTGATAATGCTGGCCACATGTTGTTGTTGTTGTTTTTAAAGGGGGGAGTGAGTGAAAAGGAAGGCAAAGAAATAGCCCTGGAAGGAGAAATTAAAATGTGATAAAATGACAGGGCCAAAACAGCTATGGGGCTTTTAATATTTCTTGGTTGGTGCAATAGCTGATCTTAAGTTCTTTCTTCTGCTTCCTTGTATCCTGATCTCCTGTTTCGCTTTTATCTGCTGGGGAAACCCAGCCAGACGGGCAGGGTATAAATAAGAATATTATTATTATTATTATTATATTATTATTATTATTATTATTATTATTATTATTATATATGTGAAATGTATATTGAGCTTACTTGTACAGTGGTACCTTGCAAGACGAATGCCTCGCAAGACGAAAAACTCGCTTGACGAAAGGGTTTTTGGTTTTTTGAGTTGCTTCACAAGACGAATTTCCCTATGGGCTTGCTTCGCAAGACGAAAACGTCTTGCAAGTTTGCGGTGTTAACTCATAGCAACTCTTTGCTGTACAGTGGTGCTTCGCAAGACGAAAAAACTCGCAGAACGAATTAATTTCGTCTTGCGAGGCACCACTGTACTGAGTTGCACTTTTGTTGTAATGGATGGGTGTAATGGGTGGAAGGCGTGGGCATGTCTGGTGCCTTGTATTGCTCCAGGAGCAGTACATTGTATGGAATAGAATCATAGAATTGTAGCGTTGGAAGGGAACCCCTGCAATGCCGGAATGATAGCTAAAGAATCCCTGAGAGATGGCCATTCAACCTCTGCTTTAAAACCTCCAATGAAGGACAGTTCACCATCTTCCAAGGGAGTCAAACAGCTCGTACTGTCAGAAATAAAAATTATTTTTGCGGGAGGAGAGTGTTGTGGGTAGGTGCATCACATTCCTGCCCCCCGCCACAGTAAGTGCATTTAGGTAGTGATGGGGCACATGGAAGTGTAATGTTTACACGGGAGAAAGGCCAGGCGCATGTGTTTTGGCCACTCATTGGGATCTGGGGTGGGGTGGGGGGAGAGAAGAGAGGAAGCCAAGACAGTTGTTCATGAAAACCGAAAAGCAAAATGAACTATGCACATCTACCAGCAGCCTTCGAACCTGAAGGATGGATGTTCTCTGCTCGTTCTTGTGCACCTTGGAGGCCAGCCGGTTGAACTCCAGAGCCATGCGCCCCAGGTGGGCAAAGAGCTGCGTTTTGTCCGACTCCTCAGCAAAGAGACTCAGCGTGTTCTCCAAGCGCTGGAGGTGCAGCATCAGGTTGCCGTCCTCGTTCTGAAGTGGCTCAATGTCCTGCAAAAGACACGGAGGCGCAGAAACATTGTAATCTGGGAGGAGGGCAAATAAGGGCTACGTTTAGGCAGGCTCAGAAAAGCAGCTTGCCACCTTTTCCTTCCTTCATCCGAGGCCTAGAGTTGGCAACACTTTTGTCTCCGGATGAGTTACTCTGGACTTATTTCAAGAAATACCAGCTACAAAGTAAGCAGGCTGAATAGAGTCCCCGTGTTGGGGTTGGCACGGTTTGCTTCTCCTGGATAAGGTATTTTCCCTCTGAAAATCTCACCCTGAAGCTGCCCCTATGCTTCAATGGCAGAGTGGGGGGTGGACAAGATGGCATGGGAGGGAAGAGGAGACTTCCCCTCCTCACAGTCCCACTCAACTGCCCAGGCAACCTTGTGGTGTTTTTTTCTAAAACAAAAAACGTAGAAAGCTGCCTAATACCAAGTCAGCCCCCTGGCTGTGTCTCTCCATGACTTCAGGCAGGAGTCTCTGTCAACCCTACTTGGGAGATGCCAGGAATGAACCTGGGACTTTTTGCATGGAAACCAAATGCTTTGCCACTGAGCCACAGCCCTTCCCCAAACACTTCAGCTTCTCCAATCCCTTGGTCTTTTGGGTTGCCGTTGTCTGCAGCTCTTCCACTTACAAAATAATAATAAATCCCCCTCTCTTTTTTTAAGGTGGGTTGACCAGGAGTGTGAACAGTACAAAACTGCTCTCATTTCATGGTCTAAGTGTTCAACAGCACTCTAAGCATAATTCAATGCCCAACTCCGATTCCTCAAAGGGAACATAAGTTGGGCTAAAACACCAAGGCCAGTATTTAGTCCTTGAGGCCCAGCATGAGAGATGACTCTAGAGAGATCCAGTGTCTTTCAGGCACTTGCCCTTGTCTGTGGTATTCTGCACTTCCAGAAGAACTCATTGCATTACCCATGCCCCTTTCACCTTTGCCCTGTCTCTATTATTGCTGAAAATTCCACCTGAATGCACCTTAGCTGCAGCAAATGGAGCCCGCCCTCCTATTAAGGCAAAGTAAGATTACCGCCTCAGGCGGCAGATGCTAAGAACAGAAGTGGATGACCCCCCTGGCTGTTCTTCTCTTTGAAGGACAGAGCTGTGTGTCTCACTTAATAGTTTAGTGCCTGCTACCCTTAGGCGCAGAGTAGGACACCCCCTCATTGCTGGCACTGAAGAAAAATTCAACTGCTAGTCCAGTTGTGTATGTGCCATTTTCCCTTCACCTCAGGCTGCTAAATATTTTAAGGTGACCTTGCCAGTAAAAAAAAAAAAAAAAAGGATTGCCAGAACTAGTTTGCTTCCAAGCTTCTAATGCCACCTAAAAGTAGTGCCTAAAAATAATCCCCTCTCAGTTTTTTCCAGTTGCAACTAATTTAACTTCTAAAGGACTTTAAACCAATTTGGACCAAGTTCCTGACAGCCGTTTTGGGAGCGCTGAAAAATTCCTTTGGCACTTCAACACAGAAAACAGCCAGCATGTAATGTAGGAGAACTCCAGGGGTGCTTGAACTCTGCAGCAGAAGTCTACAGACTTGGGTCCCCCCCCTCCCCGCCCTACCACGCACTTTAAGGACAGGAGACTCTGGCATATCTTCTGAGCTTGATTTGTGGCTGGGCTCCCCAGCACTCAGTTTCAGAGCTCATTTTCCATACTAAATATACGAAGGACGAATGAATGAATGATAAATAAAGTGTCTCTGATGATGTACTTGGTGTCTTTCCTTCACCACTGAGCAAGGCAGCATGTCTTTGGTCTGTATACTTGGAATTATGGCATGTGGCTTCCTGGGAAGACAGTGCGGTAGCTTACATAAGAAGAGGCTGAATCAAGCCAATGGCCCATCTAGTCCAGCGTCCTGTTCTCACAGTAGCCAACCAGATGCCCGTGGGAAGCCTGAGCAAAAGAGTACTCTCCCCTCTTAAGGATTCCAGCAACTGGCATTCAGAAATGTTCTGTCTCCCACAAGGAGAGTGGAAACAGAGACACTCCTAGGAACCAACTCATCAGACCTGCCTTATACCAAGTCAAATCATTGGTCCCTTTACTTGAGCATTGCCCTCACAGACCGACTGAGGATTTCAGGCAGGGTTCTCTTCCAGTCCTACCCAGAGATGGCAGGGGTTGAACCTTCTGCATGCAAAGCAGATGCTCTGGCCCTTCCACAAGCGCAGGCAAAAACTTGACAAGCAATGAATAACAACAAAAAGCTGAGCACAACTCTTTACTCTCTAGCAAGTGCCTCTGAATAAGGATTCTATTCATTCCATTCTCTGTAATTTCCACACTGCTAATGAAGAGAAACACTCCTGCAACTTGGACCACCACTTCCACCTTAACTTCACTCCCCCTTTCCCCACCTCTCTCACTCCTACCTCTTGCTGTTCAGTTCCAATTGGTTTCGATTCCAAAGTGCTGGCGGCACATGCGTCCCTCTGTCAGAAGCTCTACAACTGAAATGCACCCGCTTTATACGAGGCCCTGGGTTTATGGCACACCTTCCCTTGACAGGCAGCCGCAGAGCCACACCCTCCTCCCTGACGTGGTTGAGCTGGGCATAGTGGAGCACTAACCTGGTCTGGGTTGTTATGGCTGATTAGTTACTTGGTTGCCTCGGAGACGAAAGCCACCATTCACAGCCAAGCAATCCAGGTCAGGAAAGGGATGTCACCCTGCGTAGATGTAGCAAGCATGGCCAGATCAGGCTGCATGCCAGCTCAAAGAGTCACCTTGCAGGCAGCCCATCAGAAAGGAATCCTTGAAGGTAAAAGGCAGGGAAAGAGCAGCTTTCACCCAGGACTCATGAGCTGACTCATCCTCTCCGCCTCTCCGTGAACATGCCCCTATGAACTTGGTCCACAAAATGAAAAACCCCAGTCTTGCAAGAGACTTTGTCCATCTCTGTTGCTGCTGACTCATAAGGGAAATACACACAGGAATCATAGTGTGTCTTTGGTGCCAGATCTTTATTGCCTCATCTGTTTCTAGTTCAATAGAAGTTACACCAAGGAAGACAACTGTACTCTGGGCAGGTTCCAACCAGTCTCCCAAAGCAGGGATGGGGAAAACCAGCGCCCTGCAGGTGTTGCTGGAATACGGCTCTCTGACTACACCACGGCCAGTCGTCCCTGCCCATTGGGTGTACTGGCAAAAGCCTTTTTCAAGAAGCAAAAGACCTTGCACTATCTTACTCTGATGGCAACAGCTATCCCAAATATCTAGGAAAATGTTTCAGATGCTACTTGTAGTATCCTAGTTAATATTAAAGCTTCAGTCTCATTTGGGAGCAGTAGCAGTACTGTCAAACCTTGGTTGTTGAGCATAATCCGTTCCAGAAGCCCGTTTGACTTCCGAAACGTTCGACAACCAAGATGCAGCTTCCGATTGGCTGCAAGAGCTTCCTGCTCTCAAGCAAAAGCCGTGTCGAAAACCGGAGCATTTACTTCTGGGTTTCCGGTGTTCGGGAGCCGAAATGTTAAAAAACGGAGCCATTCGGGAACCGAGGTTTGACTGTAGTAGAAACTGCTTGTGAATCAATCTCCCAGACTGCTCAAGGTCTAGACGCTTTCCCCTTAAGTTCTCTAAAGTTTCTATACTTCCCATCAATTGCTTCTACACCTCCCCATGAATTCATTTCAGTAATACCATATTGCACGACAAGCTTGGTGCCATTTTTGCAGTCACAGCTCTTCCGGTTGTATGCACTGGTTTCTGCTTGTGCTTCCTGCTCACAAAACCTGGGATACCTTTTACCTTGGGACAGTCAGATCCGGAGAACGTCCAATGGACATTCATAACACAATTTATGCTCAGATTAAACATTATAGATCCAATGTAATAACATCACAAGTGGCACAGAACTGCACAGCCTAAGGCAGACGGTGCACCTTTTGGGGCATCACAACTTTTACCGGTTGTCAGAAGAATTCATAAAGCTTTGTGATGTACGAGAGTTCACCAGCTGCTGTTTCTGCCAGCAGCCAAGCATGGCTGCCTCTTGAAAGAGAGCCGCTCACAGCCGCCTAACCACACCAGCCTGGAGATGTGGCAGGAGCCACATTGGCTGACACGATGCCAACTTATCTGGGGGAAAGGCTCTTTAACTTACTGCAAAGCCTAGGAAGCAGTTACTACAGGCAACTAACAGCAAGCCAAGCTGTTGACATTACAACAACCACCCCCATTGTGTGTGCCTTAAATATGCATGGCTGTTTGCCCCACCTAGTTCCTCAAGCACTGATGCTGGGCCTGTTCCACACCTTCTCCAAATCTTTTTTTTTAAAGGACATAGTTTTTATGTAAGAGTTGTTTCTTTTAACCTTCTGTTTCTTGTGCCTCGCCCATGCTGGCTCAAGAGCAACGCACGAAGGGACTTGTTCTGCGACAGCTTTAAAATAATTGAGTTAGGATTCCCCCTTCGCTCTGCGTAATAGCCCTAGGAAAGTCATGGGCAAGATCGAGGAGGAGGCACTTGGCTCGGGAACAGAAGTAACTGGCTAGGGAAAGAGGGTCTGATTCTTGCTAAGAAACAGCTATTTAAAAGTATTTCTCTGGAGGAAGAGTCTCTTTTCTCCCTCATGGTTAGCACTGGTTTGGACAGCAATGTATACCTTGTTCTGCCACTGGCCAGATCCAATTTCAAGCTGGGTTGATGTGACAGGATGGGGGCAACTCACCACCACAAATGAACAAGGCAAATTGTTTACGGGCTCATGTTTTAACAAAATATTTTCATGTATCTATTTATTTATTTATTGAATTTATATACCGCCCTATAGCCGGAGGTCTTAAGAGTGGTTCACAGAACATAACCAAAATATAAAACCACAATATATATAATCAAGATAAAAAAACCACCACCCCACCCACCCACCCCCATTTTAAAAGGGCATAGGATGTCAATCGAATCAACCAAAGTCTGGTTAAAAAGGAACGTTTTCGCCTGGCGCCTAAAGGTGTATAATGAAGGCACCAGGCGAACTTCCCTGGGGAGAGCATTCCTATTTAAGAAGATAGGCTTGAGAAGCGAACAGATAGCCAAATCCAGAGATATCTGTCAGATCTCCAGAGCTCCTCGCTTATGAAGGTGAAGTGAGAGCTCTCATTCGCTGCATTAAAAGATTGTAAAACTTTCAGAGAGGCAGGGGTGCTATTTAAAGCAGGTACTAAAACCACCGCCGACATTACACTGGTTCACGTGATCTAGAAGGATTCGCTAGATTGCTCCAGTCAGTTTCATTTCATCACTTGGGTTTTTTCCCAGCCCCTTTCCTGAGAAGTGCTGTCTGGATATAAGCGGAGTTCTCTGCCATCCTGTTGGCTGGCTGCCCAAGCCTGTGAGCCTGCACATCTCACTGAGGAGAAGGAAGTAGCTGGCCACCACACAGCTTTGCATATGTGAGCAAGAAAGGGGGGGGGGAGAGAGAGAAGCCTCTTGACAGCAGCACTTTCAGATTACGCTTCTCACTTCTCAGTAGGAGAGTTCCCATCAGCTTGTTCTGGGAAAGAGGCCAAATGAAAAAACTGCGGCACGTGCCTGGTTTGTGCGGTTACAGCCTCTGTGAGTGGCAGCGCACCAGCGCAAGGAAACTCAGCTGGTGGCCCAAGTCAGGTCCTGAAACAATCACCTATTTAGGGGCAAACTGCACAGATTGCGGGATGCGGGTGGTGCTGTGGGTTAAGCCACAGAGCCTAGGACTTGCCAATCAGAAGGTCAGCGGTTTGCATCCCCACAACGGGGTGAGCTCCCGTTGCTCGGTCCCTGCTCCTGCCAACCTAGCAGTTCGAAAGCACGTAGATAAATAGGTACCGCTCCGGCGGGAAGGTAAACGGCGTTTCCGTGCGCTGCTCTGGTTTGCCAGAAGCGGCTTAGTCATGCTGGCCACATGACCCGGAAGCTGTACGCTGGCTCCCTCGGCCAATAAAGCGAGATGAGCGCCGCAACCCCAGAGTCGGCCATGACTGGACCTAATGGTCCGGGGTCCCTTTACCTTTTTTACACATACTGCACTCAGTTGCAGAAGCAGCAACCTGGAGCAGAAAGTTCTACAAAGAGGGAGCAGCTCTCTCTTTCTTTCCAGTACCATTTCCCCCAGCATCTATAACTTCCCAGCTGATTTTAGCTCTATGAAGGAGGAAAAAAGAGGGGTATGGATATAATCATACTGGGGCATAAGGAAACTGAGGGTTTTGTGAAAGGAAAGGTCCACAGCAAAAGGATTGAGCACCCCTTCTGCGCCACAAGATCCGTGGCTACAGATTACAGCAACTCATTGCTGCTTCCAGTTCAAGACCACGACATGGGGAGGGGAAATATTCCAGTGACTGAGCACCCCTTGTCGTTTCTTCCTCAGCACATCTCTTTCTTTCTCCTGATGTTTTCTCCATGTGAAAAAAAGAAGACTGCGAGTAGCTCATGGCAGATACCTTTGTTGTTTCTTTTCTTTTGCTTAAATTACTCTGTGAAATGCAATATAAAATAGTTCAACTGCTCAATAAAACCTGCTGACTAGTTTAGCTTTCATCTTCTGGAGACCTCTATATTTCCCTGTCTCTGAGCTATCAAACCGCACAAGGAGATTGTATGAAAAAAATACATCAGAACTAAACACACACACAAAAAGGTAACAAAGGAACTTCCAAGACGACACGACCCATAAAACATTTCCCCCCCTTTTGCGTCTCTAAACAAGCTGTTTGGATTAACATACCGATTTCCCGGGGCTTCCTTGGGAAGACCTTTTATCTTCAGCTCCAACGATTTCAAACTCAGATGAAGATCCCTGTAGAGAAAATGAATGAATGTAGAGTTATATACCCCAAATTCCAATGGGCCCCTTACAGGAAAAAAAACAGAGTAGGGATTAAATGAGTAATTTGGGTTTCCCCGCTGTCTACTGAATGTGTTTAAAAAACAAACAAACAAATATATGGTGTCCTGCTTACTTAGAAACAGGATAAAAAAGCAAAAAACCTGCAACAAAATATTGCCATAAATCCTCACCTCCCAACATGCTGATCTTCAAAAGGTGGGTTGCTGCCTGATCCAAGAAAAGTTGCAACAGGAAGCACCACCGCTATGCAAATATGCAATAAAAGATTAAGAAATGGGTCCCCAAATGCATGTTTGGATCAAAAGTGGGTCCTGGGTCTGGTAAGGTTGAATATACCTTTCTATACACTGGTCCAATTATGCCTTCCTCCATGATAATATAGGCTGTCAAGGGTTCAAGCAGGTCTTTGCTTTTCTGTTAAGTCTTTCCCACCTAATCCTCAACTTTCCTAAGCTCCTGGAGGTCAATCTAGTCTTTGCTGGGCTCCTTTGCAGTTTTGTTTGCTTTTTTGTTTTGTTTGTTTGTTTGTGGTTCTGCAAATCTCTGGGTTTCTCTGAGTGCGCCAATAACTCTCTAATGTTTCTCAGTGATCCTCTGTGGGCTTCAATTCTGTCAGCGAGAGGCAATGTGTTCAAAGTCAAAGGGGAGTGGGACTGCATCTTTCACTGGATGGAGCGGTTTCCAAATGTTGCTTATTTCTTTGATCTAAAAAGGTCATGTGGGAAAGGAAGATAGCATCTTACACACCAAACTGGAGGCATAGCGAGATCAAAATCTACCTAATAACTATTAGAAACCACAGCAATCTGTAACTGTCCATGATACAGAATGAAACAGGGCTACATGTTTTCTCAAATAATGCAGTATTCAAAACTACAACAGTTTTATGGGAAGGGCTGGAGCTTGGCGGCAGAGGATTTGCCTCACATGCAACAGATCCCGGGTTCAATCCCTGGTGTCTGCAGGAAGGGCTCAGAAAAGTTGTTTCCTGAAGCCCTGGAGAGCTGCTGGCATCAGTGTAGGCCATGGTGAACAAGATATGCCAATGGCATAAGGCAGCTACCTCTCAGAAACAATCTAAGAGACATCTCTTTGTAGTTAAGTGGCACTCAACAAAGCCAGGCAGTTTGGGATCAGACACTGAACCACGGAATGGACTCTCCCTGCAGCCTCGCAAGACTTAAATAGATGTAGCTTGGGTCAGGAATAAAAGCACCAGCCTTGGACCTCAATGACTATCACAGGGCGGATTAAAAGAGAGTGCTCTTTCAGCTCCAGTTCTGCAAAATAGAAAGCACCTCCCAAAGTAGTTGGGATGATCAACTTTACTGTAGAGCATGTGGCTCATTAAAAGTGCTATGCAGCATTCTACTAGTTCAGAAACTTCCTTCCAGTTACATGGACAGACTAAAATGCCAGAGCCCTCAAACCTGAGTAGTCATTCTGATATCATTCCCCTCACTGCCTTTACAATGTGTTTAGCATTCCCGCAGCCTATATACATACTCGGAAATACTTGCCGCTGAATTCATTGGGACTTACTCCTGTGTCTGCCCAACAGGGCTTGCAGCTTTAATCATTATTATTATTATTATTTTTATGTAGCCTTGACTATTTAAAGTCTGATTTCTTACACTGCTGGGTGGCTTCTGTGTGGGTTTATCCATCTCCTTCTGATCTTCACCTGGAACCTCTGAGGAAGAGCAAAGATCTGGGATTCCTCCTGGGGGAAAAAGAGAAAAGAAGCAAGTGAACATTTCTCACTGCAGAGATCCGACTCTGCCAACAGAAACAACAGCAGCAAAAGTACAAAGAAGTAAAGGGAAAGTTGGGGAAAGGAGAAAACAGGTTGCTAGGCAGGATAGAGATCTCCCATTCTGCATTAACAGGAAACAGGTTCAAGAGCAGGAGGGCTGGTAGCAGCTATTACCTGCCTAAAACAAATCCATTTTATAACCAATTTAAAAACACACACCAGAGAGTCTACAAGGAACAGTACTTGCCCTTTTCTATCTTGTTTTAAGTCCCCATGTATAAATTACACACACACTCCCCCCACGTCAAGCCCCACCTTCCCCGTGCAAGAACCAGTAGCTGGTCTCTGGGGGCACAGAGGCGGCAATGTTTGGTGTGCGATGCAAATGTGTATAAATGGCCTTTGATGAGTGTCAGCTGGAATTTCCCTCTTTCCTCCTGGGCTCAGCATACGGTAATACTGAAAGATCAAAAATCACCCCTCAGCTTTTCCATTTGAAGCCCATCTAGTTCTCAAGAGGGGTGGTAGGTGGGAGAACAGAACAGTCACCTTTTTTTAAAGTGCACTGCATCAGCCTTTGCCAACCTGGCACACTGCAGATGTTTTGGACTACAAGCTTCATTAGCTCCAGGCAGTAACAGGTTGATGAAGGTGAGAATGTGCCATATTAGAATGATATGGTGCATATCAGAATGACAGTCACCTTTTCTAAGGTTAAAGGAAGCTGCTCTCAGGGCTTTCACACTCAGATCTATCAAATGTGTGATCCCAGGTACACTGCAAGACTCCCACTAAGTCCAAGACCAGTAAGCTCCCTCTAAGTAGCACCCCCAGTAATGGTCTAAACAAATAAATCAAGTACAGTGGTGCCTCGCAAGATGAAATTAATCCGTTCCGCGAGTCTCTTCATCTTGTGGTTTTTTCGTCTTGCGAAGCACGGCTATTAGCGGCTTAGCGGCTATTAGCAGCTATTAACGGCTATTAGCGGCTTAGTGGCTTTAAGAAAAAGGAAACAAACTTGCAAGCCCATAGGGAAATTCGTCTTGCGGAACGACTCAAAAAACGGAAAACCCTTTCGTCTAGCGAGTTTTTCGTCTTGCGAGGCATTCGTCTTGCGGGGCACCACTGTAATTGACCATTGGCTGCTCTTTGGTATGAAAAATTCTACCACCCAAGGCAGCTGACCTCACCCTGAATTGGGTATATGTGTGCAATGTGTGTGGCATGCACATATTTATGCCCAGACTTTGCTAGTATCAGGTGGGACTCAATCACAGACAGTAAACCCAGGTTGTGCAATTACAGTTGGAGGGGAGGTTTTGCACAACAAACCCTCTCTCCCCCAGAAGATGGACCTCCCCACCAACAAACAGGAATGAATGCTCGATAAAATCAGTCACCTGGAAGCACTCATGATTTTTTTGAGACCCAAAAAGAAAACACACCGGGACAGGGGGGTGTCTAGGAAGCTGGCTCAAACCAAGGCATATGTGTCTACCTAGCCCTCTACTGTCTACTCTGACTGGCAGCACTTCTCCAGGGTCTCAGACAGAATGAGGTCCTGCACCATCACCTGCCTGAAGATGGAAAGGATTATTCCTGGGACCTTCTGCGTGCAAAAGTGTAGGGAGTGAGCTGCCCCCTAAACCACACAACCTTCAAAGAAGAAAAAAGTGTTTCAGGGCAGGGGTGTGGAAGGAAGAGTTTTGCTGCAGAAGCAAAAATGTATTCAAAACCTTTGGTTACTGGTCATTTGATTTCATGTTTTTCTCAGGGAGGGGAACAGCAGTGAACATGAGCAAAAAGCATGGCCAAAACTTCCCTCAAGTTCCACCGTCTAAAGGCTGTTCGATTTATTTTTGCATATGCATAACCTGCCCAGAAAGTAGCATGCAACAAGACAGGACTGATTCAATCCAAGGAGGCTGGGCTGTAGCTAAAACCATGCAAATGGAGTTCTACCCACACAACGGAACCTCCCCTTCCTCTCCTCTCGCCAAGCATCCACAGAATCTGCTCTGGAGGGTTCCACAATCTGCTGCAGAAGATTTTGAATGTGCACAGGGGGCTGCAGGGGAGAGGAGAGGTGCAAGTTCTACTGTAAAGTCTGTTGCACAAGCCGAACACCCCTAGGAACTGAAGTGACACAGATTCAGGCTGTAGACCTGAAGACACAGGTTGGCTGCATCGATGGCCCAGTGATATCAGCATGTATATTTTTTGAAAGGGATTTTTACACTTAATGCAAGACAGCCGACAGCAGCACTGGAGGCTTATTCCTCTTCCTTCCAACTTGCAATTCCCTTAAATGCAACACACACACACACACACACACACACACAGTGAAAATCTAGGTCTGCCAAAGAACAGTGTTACTGGGACATGCTAAACAGTTGGTCCTTTGATGCTCATACCTGCCATTTCCGCAAGTTTGTCAAGAGAGGAGGTGGACCTTAGCATTTCGTTGTCCTTCACTAGGTCCTCCACTTTCTGACGCAGCCTGGAGGCTTCTAACTGAGACTCTTCCAACAGATCCCCTGGCAAAACAACAAGGGCACGATTTAACACTCCTTTGTATTTGCAGGTTCTTTCTTTACAGCAGCACATTCAGCATAGTTATCGGAACTCCAGCAATTCTACCCTAACTCCACTGCATTTCAGTTCAAATGACTGCTTTATACACAGTACTTTTACTACACAGAGAGGATCTCTGTGCCATGGGGCGCAGGGATGGAACTGTGAATGATGTATATAGCAGCCACATAATTTTTGCATGGATTAGGGAGCAGGCACAAGCATGGAGATATTCCCAACTGTAGGAAAAAGAAGTCAGCTGAACTGCAATGTTTTGCCTTGTCTACTTATTGGCGAGCACCTCAGCCACACACGTGCAAAGCTCAAATTTTATGCCAGTATTTTGGGCTTGCTAAGAAATGTATCGCTATCAAGATCTCATTTTAAAAGGCTTTGGAATAAAGAGCAATGAATGTTTAATATGCATTGGTGAAAGCTTGTGGAGCCACAAAGAATTCTCCTTTAGGCTAGGTAATATGAACTACCCCTTTAAAAAAACTAAAAACTTTAATAGAAGTAAAGAAATTCCTAATATATACCTCCAATTCAAAACCCTATCTACAGAGAGGTGCATCTGTGGAATGAAACGCTGCTGAGTTGGAACCCATTCACATATTCAGGACTGTTTCTCAGCCTCTGAAAATGATTATGTTCTCAGACGGCAAACAGTAAAAGTTTCTTCATGTGATGCTACTACATCCGGGACCTGTGCACAATTTTCACACTTACGATGTTCAGCGTTACTGAAAACCCTTAAGATCTTCCACTGGCTGTCACAATATTTTAAAAGGTCCATATCCCACACACAGCCCACGTGTGAGCAATGCCAGTAAGTCATCACCTGGGACGTCTCTTGAACAACGTGCAGACACGAGGCAAAGGCCTTTTGAGCCACAGCAAAAACACAGAGAACACCCCCAGAAAGACTTTAGCACACAAGGGGCAGCAAGTCCAAATCACAGACTTGGCCTTTAATGCTCACCACCAGTGAAACTAGTAGGCTATCCCCAATGGAAGCTCAACTATGCCTCTATGGTGCCACAGAGGTTTTAGAGGTTTCCTGCTAAGTACACAAGAAAGCGGCTTCTTTGAAGTTTGTCGCAGACCTGGGCATTCTGGAAACAGCAACAATGAGTAACTTTTGCTTTTCCGCTTCCATGTCATCCTCACCGTTACCTAGAGACTTAATTCCCTGCATCTTCTCCTTCAGCCGGGTATTTTCCTCCACCAGCCGTTCAAAGGCAGCAGATGCTCCCTTTTCCGTTCCCCCACCCGGGTCATAGATACGATAAGGCCCCTTTCCTTCCATGGGTGCAGCTTAATACTCCAGTTTCCTGGTAGCTGTGCCTGAAACAATGGAACAGGTGGTTAGCATCCCCAGTGTAAATCCTTTAAGAATGCTAGAACAACCAGAGGGATTTAACAGAAGGGGGAGATAATAGCGTTCATCTGTTACTGGGACTTCAGGGGTTTTCCAGATAGGGTGGACTTGGTCAGAGGCTACAACTTCCATGACTGATATAACGCTCCCATTATTTTTAACCTTGGTTAAGGGATCATGAGCAGGTGGTGCAAGTGTATATCCTCTTGCCTTCCTTTGCCCCAGTTCCCCTGCTCTTCCTGAACCCCGTCTGAACTGGCTTTAACCAATAATTAGTCCTAACGGAGACATCAATCTTAGCCAAGACTTGAAATATTGGGAGTGGTCTATATGCATAAGATAACGGCAAAATATGATCCTTATGATACTCTGCTGAGCACTGTTCTTTCATTATGCTTGTGTTTGTAGAGAAAGGACCAGCACCCTGACTGCCAGAGCAAATTTCTCCATTTCTGCAAAACAAAAGGTTTTTAAGCAGAGGTTGGATGGCCATCTCTCATGGATGCTTTAGCTAGGATTCCTGCATTGCAGGGGGTTGGACTAGATGACCCCTGGGGTCCCTTCCTACTCCAAGAGTCTGTGATTTTATGGAAACACCTCAGCAAAAAGAAAAAGGGGGGAAAATAAAAAAGAGCTGGGATATACAATTTAATTAACATATTTCTATACCATCCTTAATAAAAACAGATTTCAGGGCATTGTACAACAAACCAGAGTACTAAAATTAAAACCAAATAAAAAAACCACTAACACTGTGCAGCCATAACATATTTTTTTAAGCAGCAGATAAAAAGGACAAAAGCAGGCCGAGTGAGTATACAAATTAAAACGCCATGGTAAATACAAATGTCTTAACCTAGCGCTGAAAAGATTGCAAAGTAGGAGCCAGGCGTACCTTCTATGGGAAGGCATTCAAATACCTCTCATTTCTTATTACAGAGCACACTACCACTTAAAGATGAACTCCTGTTGAAGATCTCAACACAGGAAGGCTGGTATGGTGGAAGAAGCATTCTTGCAAGTATTTGGGAATAATAATAATAATAATAATAATAATAATAAACCAGTTAAAATTCTGGCAGCCAAATTCTGAACTAATTGAACTTCTGAGTAATCTTCAAGGGCAGCCCCAAATATTACCAGACTATGGAACACTGTAACCAGACTATGCCTGTTGAGGAATGGCACAGTGGCAGCAAAATCATCTGGACTGGTAGAGACAGAAGTGAATCTAAAAGCGCACCCAAACTGCAAACCTACTCTCAGCCAAAACAGGTTGAACATCATGGTCAATGATATCAAGTGCTATTGAGAGAGCAAGAAGAACCAATAGGGTTGTGCTCCCCTGCCTTTCTATTCACAGGCCATTCACCTGATTGTGGATACAGTGGTGCCTCGCAAGACGAAAAGAATCCGTTCCGCGATTCTCTTCGTCTAGCGGTTTTTTTCGTCTTGCAAAGCAACCCCATTAGCGGCTAAGCGGATTAGCGCTATTAGCGGTTTAGCGGCTTAGCGGCTATTAAAGGCTTACCGGCTTAGCTGCTAAAAGGCTATTAGCGGCATAGCGGCTTAGAAAAAGGGGGGGGAGCGGAAAAAAATTGGCGAGACTCGCAAGACATTTTCATCTTGCGAAGCAAGCCCATAGGGAAATTCGTCTTGCGAAGCGCATCGCAAACGGAAAACCCTTTCGTCTAGCGGGTTTTCCGTCTTGCGAGGCATTCGTCTTGCGGGGCACCACTGTAATCTATCTATACTCTCCAAAGGATGCATGCCTAAATGTGCTCTCTGATATACACTCAAATGATACTCCAGGTGAGATGGGGGCTTAGAACGACAACAATGTAACTGGTTTGCCATAATCAGCATTGGCAAGTAGCCAAATCTGATTTGCTTTGTGATGTCATCACATTCACTACCAGATCGCTATTTGAATGAGATGGTGTAGTTAAGGAAGAATATAGGAGGTAGCAATCCATTATGAAACACACACACAGAGGTAAAATGAGATCCACCAGTAAGGCTGTGGGTGCCTTGCAGTAGATTTAAGGGTTTCTAACTTTTCTAATGACAGAAACAACCAGCTAAAAGGCCTTTTATTTTCAAATTAGGTTGCCGATAAAGAACATTTGGGAGAAAACCAGGACTGGGTTTTTTGTGAGAGAGAATGTATAAACTTGGTTTTGGTACTGCAATACTAATGCCCAGTCTGAATATGTGCTCAGAGGCACCCTGCTTACTGATTCTTGGTGTATATGCCTGCCCACTTGACCTAGTATTTTACTCTGGTTCATACATCTCAGTTTTCAAGCAAAAATGAACAAACAAACAAATGAATAGATCTACTCCATTAGCACAAGTTGACTAGGTTGGGGAGAAAATGCCCAAAGTGATGGAGCATTCAGATCTAATGCACAGAGTATTCAACTCCCTATGCACATTTGTGCTGCAAAATTTAATCCTGCATCATTTAACGATGCTCATCACACACCAAACTAATGAGAGTTCAGCTAGGTTACTGCACTCTGGGTCAACAGAGAACAGAACTAGGTCAGCAGGCGTCATTAAAAAGTGCACGCACATTCTTCTTGAATGATGCAGGAACAGCTCCGGGATATTTAGTGTGCTGATACAAACCTTACTTCAGTTCAAACCGTGTGAAAGAAAGTGTCATAAATAGATAACAGACCAGTGAAAGTGTCTGAAACTAGAACAGGCTTGCTGATGCTGAATAATATACATATCTATTAAATTATCAGTACGGGAACAGAAAGGAGGGGTAAGTACATTTAAATACTATTTCTTAAAACAAAAACACTATTCAAGGATCCACAAATACACTGACAAATGCACTATCATTTTAAGCTGATAAAGGCAGAATCAGGGAAAGGCAGCACCCTACTCCTCATCCAGAAATGTAGGGTCCCCATCTGGTGCCACACTGGTCACATCCACACAATACATTCAAAGCACTCTCGTGCCACTTCAAAAGGCATGGCTTCTCCTAAAGAATCCTGGGAACTATAGTTGAAGGGAATTGTAGCACTGTGAGGGTCTCCTAACAATGCCCAACACCTTTATAGTTCCCAGGATTCTTTGGGGGGAACCATGTAAGAATGCTCTAAATGTCCAGTATGGATGCACTAAGTCATGCAGACTCTCAGGAAGCAAGGAGATGACTCGGTGCTTAGTGCATCAGGGATTATGATCCCTGAGGGTCACTGGCATTTCTAGAGTTTGCTGGGTGATCATGCTCCTCCTTTACCCCGGTTCAAGGTATGGATAGGGCTACCACCTGGAATTTTATCCACCTTGAAATGCCCCATGGGCACTGAGACAAGTTAGACATGGCTGGAATGTGGGGATGTTCAGGGAAGCAGGAGAGGATATGTTTATTAATATCCTTCCTAACTTGTGCTAGCAAGTTTCTTTACTTAGCAGAGTTTCACACTCCTCCTTTAAACACACAGTGGGTAGTTGGTTGCAGGCTTGTGTAAGCCTCTCACTATTAGGTTCCTGGTAAGTTCCCTTATATCCCTCTTAAAAGAATAAACTCGCCACAATCTTGTGTAAAGTATATAAAAGTAGTTTACTCACATCCTGTTCACAGTTGGAACCCTGAAGGCAGGCTTAGTTACAAAGTATATACATGTGGAGCTATTCCATATGGGGATAATCCCAGTGTCCTCTGTTGGCTAGCTAAAAAGCTGCTCCAACGATGGAGGAAGTCAAAAAGAGAGAGAGTACTGTGTGCCTTGCCTTTTTGTTACCTGGACAGGTAAGGTCACGCCTATCTCTAGTCACATGCAAAGGAAGTATGTCCCAGCCAGGAGGAAACAGGAAGTTTTCAACTGGCTGGACCAAACATTCCCCACTATGTCCACTCTAGGAAAACAAGGAATGTTGTACTTGACTGCTACTTATGTATCACATCCCACATGGAAAACAATGCATACCCTTTTGTTGGCGTTTTTATGCAGAAGCTGGATGAGCACCTATCAAAGATGCTAGAGCAACAGATAAGGACATCTGAAGTCCCTTCCATCGTTAAGATTCTGTGAAATCTCTTCTCCTAGGACAATTTCTCAATTCAGAATGCATAGCTTCTACGCACTGCAGATGCCAAGGCATATTTTGAACTTTTGACAAGCCATTGTTGGGAAAAAATTATTTTCCCTGTGCTGTTTTGACCCAATGAACAAAGAGCCTCCTGATTTTCAAATCAGAGGATAGGATTGCTGCAGTCCATGAATACAGAGCACAGCAGGCGAAGTGGAAATTAGAGCAACACACAATGTGGAGGCAGGAAACAGTCCTCAAGAGGAGTGTTACAAGCCTGCCACTGTCTTCATCAGTAACACATTCAAGGGTATGTAGATACAAGAACATAATAAGAGCAGTGCTAGACCAGCTGCCTGTTCCCTATAGCAGCCAATGATTCCTCTGGGAAGCCTACCATGACAAGCAGCCATTGATGACCAAAAACTCCATGAACTTCTCTAATCTCCTTTTAAACCGTCCAAGTTGACAGCACTATAAATTAGTTCAAGAAAGATGCCTTCTCTCCTCCTAAAAGTGAGAAGGGCTTTTCCTGCAAATCAATGCTTTAAAGTTAGAGCTTTTTTTCTTTACCTTCAGGGAAAGAGTAAAAAGAGATTGCTGTGAGACCCAACAAAAGCTCACAAAATAACGAACTTTATAGTGTGATTGACTACTGGGTTCTGTACAGGACTTTGTAATTTATTTGCAAGGCTGCATTTCATGATTTAAAAGCATCATCACATTTCTGCTTATGGACTTGAGGTGAATTAGTATGCTTCATCTCTAGTCTCTAGATAAATGAGAAGGGTAATAGTCCCTCCCGAATGCAGATTGCTATCGTTTGCACTGGGAATGTCCCGATTTAAAGATACTGTATTGGCATAAAAACATAAATACTATCTCTGCAGGGACTTGTTACAAAGTATCT